ACACGGGAACGTGAACGTGACTAGCCGTATATATTATAATCTACGGTTTGAGAAGCGCACGAAAAAGTTCGAACCATGCTATAGAAAACAGCCTGTCTTCGATAAATGGGTTTGTCAAATGGTCTATATGTGTAAAATAGCAGGATTTTTACATAAAAAGGCAGCTTTCTTACAAAAATATCTTTTGTAAAAAAACAGATTTTTTACATAAAAAAGCAGCTTTTTTACAAAAACATATTTTGTAAAAAAGCTGCTTTTTTAAAAAATATATTTTCGTAAAAAAGCAGTATTTTTACAACCGTTTAATTTGTAAAAAAGCAGCTTTTTTACATAAGAAAGTTGCTTTTTTACCAAAATATATTTTTGTAAAAAAGCAGTATTTTTACAACCAGGTAACTTGTAAAAAAGCAGCTTTTTTACGTAAAAAAGCTGCTTTTTTACAAAAATATATTTTGTAAAAAAGCAGTATTTTTACAAACGCTTAATTTGTAAAAAAGCAGCTTTTTTACAAAAATATATTTTTGTAAAAAAGCAGTATTTTTACAACCAGGTAATTTGTAAAAAAGCAGCTTTTTTACGTAAAAAAGCTGCTTTTTTACAAAAATATATTTTTGTAAAAAAGCAGTATTTTTACAACCGCTCAATTTGTAAAAAAGCAGCTTTTTTACATAAAAATGACGCTTTTTTACAAGGACCGTTTTTTTATGCAACATATATATATATATAAACACATACATATGTTGTGTAAAAAAACGGTACCGTAAGAAAGCTGTTTTTTTACACTGATATATATTTGTAAAAGGACAGCTTTTTTACAAAAGTATATTTTGTAAAAAAACGGTCATACACTAAATGTTGCTGGCGAATTCAGCTAGTGTTCATATTAAACTTGTTTAGCCTTTACAAGTGTTTTCTGGCTTATTTCTCGATCTCTAAAATAAAACACGCATTGCCGTACGTTACAGACGTCTTTATAGTCCCTAATTCTTATAAACGAATCGGCTGCTGTTTCTATGGCCTTACAAGTTGCTCTGTGTCTTGCAAAAATTAGACTAACAAGCGAGTGTATGTACGCTTGTAGCTATAGGCTAGCGTTTCCCTTTGCTTGATTAGCCGACTGAACATGTTCCTACATCATGTTGAAAGCTTAAAGTTGTAACGCAGACATGACACTCTTTCATGCATCAACATGGATTTCAACATAGCATGAACCCCGTGATAGAAGTCTAGCGCAACATACATAATACAGGAAATTGCCTAACAATTGCTGTCGTTGATTCTTGCTGAAGATTTTATGCTGGAAATGGAGTTATAATTTATTTGTCCACTGCTAAGACCATCAAAGCATTATAGCCAAGTATTTTGTTGACAGTTAAACCGATTGTTGCAGCTGATAACCTTGGGAAAATAGATAAATAATACAGAACAATATTCTGTACAGTTTTCGGCTTGAACAAAGGTAACAATGAAGGAGAGAATAGAAGGCTTTGGTTACTGCAAGAGATTGTGACAGGCATTGCTTATAAATAAGACAGTGAATAACCCAGCTATTCTGTTATTGCCTAACATGCAGTTACTGCCGTGCGCGACCTCGGCCGATAAGCATAACAAATGAAATTACTGCCTGTTCCTTCTTCGCATCCAACAATTAGAAGGTCCTGGAAAATTGAATGACAAAGGAAACAAGAAGAAATAATAAAAAGAATAAAAAGAACGTAAATTATTAACGCTGTCAGCGAGTTAACAAGGGAATTTAAAAGCCCCACAATAAAGGGGACACGGGAACGTGAACGTGACTAGCCGTATATATTATAATCTACGGTTTGAGAAGCGCACGAAAAAGTTCGAACCATGCCATAGAAAACAGCCTGTCTTCGATAAATGGGTTTGTCAAATGGTCTATATGTGTAAAAAAGCAGGATTTTTACATAAAAAGGCAGCTTTCTTACAAAAATATCTTTTGTAAAAAAACAGATTTTTTACATAAAAAAGCAGCTTTTTTACAAAAATATATTTTTGTAAAAAAGCAGTATTTTTACAACCAAGTAACTTGTAAAAAAGCTGCTTTTTTACAAAAATATATTTTTGTAAAAAAGCAGTATTTTTACAACCGCTCAATTTGAAAAAAGCAGCTTTTTTACATAAAAATGACGCTTTTTTACAAGGACCGTTTTTTTATGCAACATATATATATATATATGATGTAACGTTTGCCTCGAAGAGAAATTTTTAATTATCTGTCGTCCCGATCTATCATCACTTAACAAACGTAACGGCTTGTATCTTCTTGCCGCCACAGAAACAAAGCGTTGGTACGTAACAACTAAACATTTAAATTTAAATTTTCCCCAACGATGTAATCTAAAAGTATATAGCCGATGGTTTAGAATATTCTTATCATTAAATCCCCTGAAGAGTGAGTGATCACGAAACAGGCTTCTCGAGATGAAAGTGTAGTTTTTTTCCTATATATATATATATATATATATATATATATATATATAATTATACTCCAAGAGCTAGGTTATTTGAACATTTACTGTAACTCTGAGTTTAATGCTTCTTGCGGAGCAATCATCAGGCAACTGCCAGAAATAACGGTTATAATCACAGAAATTTGAAATACAGAACAGTGGAGTAGCTTAGCATGAGAGTGAAAGAAGTCTGCAATGTATTTAAATCAAAGGGCCTAAAGATTACAATCGATGCCAACAAAAAAATCGTTCACTTTCTTGATGTAACCTTCGACCTTACAGACGGAAGTCACAAGCCATACATGAAACCCAACAACAAACTCTCGTACGTCCACCAACAGACCAACCACCCCCTGGCATTACTAAAAAACATACCACTCAACATCAACAAAAGGCTAACTAACATCTCATCCAGCAAGTAAGTTTTTGACGAATCAATTGCTCCTTACCAGCAAGCACTTAAAGAAAGTGGATATGATCACAAACTAACATACAACCCTGAGCCCACTCCGAGAACCAAAAGAAAGAGAAAAAGGGACATTACATGGTACAATCCTCCTTTCGATTCGAATGTTAAAACCAACCTTGGTAGAAAGTTCCTCCGCATCGTCGATAAATGCTTCCAGAAAAAAACATCCACTCTACAAGATTTTCAACAGACACACTCTCAAGCTAAGCTAATCATGTATGCCAAATATGAAATCCATCACATCGTCACACAACAAACACGTTCTTTCCAATGCAAATGCCCCAACACCGCAACCCGACACCTGCAATCGTAGAAAAAAGTCTGATTGCCCATTAGAAGGAAAATGCCTTCAACTAACGTCATCTATCGAGCCACAGTTACTACTGAGACAGCAACTGAAACCTATGTTGGACTAGCCACAAACTTTAAGGAACGTTACAGGAACCACAAAATATCCTTTCGACACTCGAAAAGAAGAAATGAAACAGAACTCTCCAAATATGTCTGGAACTTACAAAACGAAAAGAAACCGTTTCAGATTAAATGGAAAATTCTTAAAAAATGTAGTCTTTGCCTGAATGAAAAGTTCATAATCATCTGTAAAAAAGAACTGTGTAGCCTCAACAGAAGAAACGAATTAGCAAGTTCATGCCCCCGGAGAAACCGATATGTACTTGAAACTTTAGAGTAACGTAGCTTAAAACCCGCTTATATCACATTTTTTATAACGACAGATAATCCCTCTTATATAATGTTTTTGTTACCTAACAACCCTTTCAACAGTTTCATATAACCTGAATGTAACGCATCTCCCATAGCAACCATTTAAATTTTCGCATTTAGCTGCCAGCCTTCCAATTCCAACAGTTCAGTCGTCAAAATTGCCTGATGAGTGTGGTCCTTGTACCATACGAAACAGTTCAGTAGCAATAAAACGATGATTACTCGTAAAACCTGAACTTCTGTGAAGTTATTGCTGCGGAGCGACCGAAGGGAGCGAGCAGCAACATAATCAGGATTTAAAGGAAATATATAAAGGGGCGACGAATTCTCGAATTCATCACTTTTTACCACAATGCATTGCATTTAACCACACTTTTTACCACAATGCATTGCATTTAACCAGAGTGCATTGCGCCACGAACAACTCAAATAAAAACACGGGGAAGTAGTGCATCGTTCGCTGCTCAGTTCGACAGCACGGTTAGAGGTCTTACCAAATTTTAAGACAAGCAGGAGTCTTTCAGATGAGTACGATGGTTAACTTGGGGAGTGGATTTCAATTCAAGAGCCTTTGACTCGTCCAGGTGTTAAACCTGACGAGAAGATGAGCATTTGCTCTTCGACTCCGCAACACGGGGGATATACAAATTCCAGCTTGCTAGAAGGTGATGTGAAAGTGAGAAAATGTCATGCAATGCTATTCTTAAGAAACTGTATGAGCCGTAAATGAATGTGATTTTGACCATTCGCTTCAAAATAACAGCGGAAATCGAGATAACAAAACATATGTTTTGTGTCCTACTTTGCAGACCAGGACGTGTATCGGCGTTTTGAAAAGCATAATTATGTTCTTTCATTCATTCATTGCCATGGAATATGCGTTTACATTGTTTTTTCACTGTTAATAGCTCGGTTAATGCGGCTGGCGATCATCTTGCCGGCGGAAAGTGTCATAGAAAAGGAATAAAAGGAAACACTTCTCCCCGAACCTACGTAAGCAGCCCTTGTGGTGAGTGGTTAGGTGTAGTCGCGTCGAGTCGAAGGTGTCGGGTTCGAGTCCTACCGAATTATTTATTTCTACTGCCTTTTCTTTTCCTTTTTTTGTGTTGTTGTTTTCTATAAATATTTAGCTAAATAACTGTTACTTAATAAAGTGCAGCAAACAGCAAGAAAAGTATTGTGTTTCCAGAGAAAATGTTGTGCACTGTATGTTAAATATCTGGAAAATCAATCTCAATTTCTATTATTTCCTACAATTTACTGTGGGAAAACCAGAGTTGACAACCACTTGATCATTTTCTAAACAACATTCCCACGAGTTCTTTCTATAGACTGATAGTAATTATTCTAGTACTTTCCAACATGTAAATAGGACATTCAATGTCATTTTTGATTCTTTTAAGTCTCACTGCCTAACTAATGCCAGTATCAACAGAACGTGCCGCAGCATTACTATCTTTTAGATACCCTAGTATATATATATATATATATATATATATAGTTTGTACAAAGGAGAATGGACTACATATGTTGATTTGAATCCTTTATTGACCCGACGCGTTTCGGCTTACGCCTTCTTCAGGGGTTTCATTGATCATCAACTAAAAAGTGCTCAATGGATTTACCAGAGCTTTGAATAGATACGTAGACTTGAACTAGGTCAAAAACATTTACTTGCTACTCAGAGTTTCATGCTTCATAAGAAGCAATCATCAGGCAACTGCCAAAAAGAAACAGTACATGGTGTTTTATAGTGATTTAGAGTGATTTTGAAAAAAACGGTAGCGATTTAAGCCTATAAGACGTATTTTATCTCTCTTTGGTCGATTACCTTCATTTCAATAAAAAAGGACGAAAAGTTCACACCACAATCGTTTTCAGTACGCTTTTGTGTATATTCCGGCAAGCTATGTAAAAACTCCGCTTGACGTTACGGTCACGCAACAAGAATTGTTTACTCAGCGGTTGTAGAAATTTGAATCAATTAAGGTCATTTCAAAACCTTGGCTTGAGGCTCTGTAAAGAAAACCCAAGCTGATTCTTCCATATTATCAAGAACAACCTTAAATCCCTGTAATGACATAGTTAAAAAGAAAATCTGAATTAAACCCCTAGGTAAAAAACCCATTTGAATTTTGTCTAGAAATAATAATAATAATAATAATAATTTATTGATTTATAGTGCGCTTTTTAACATGCTAGGTGATCAAAAGCGCATTAAAACAATAAATAACCTAAAAACTATCAATACAAATATTAGAAATATACAAATATATTTAATATCTAAGAGATATTAAAAGCTAATTTAAAAAGATAAGTTTTAAGATTAGATTTAAAAGTAGAAATACATTTGATGCTGCAGAGGCTAACAGGAAGAGCTTTCCATAAAGTGGGCGCAGCCACACTGAAGGATCTGTCACCAAACGACTTTTTCATTTTTCCTGACGGATGCTTTAAAAAAACACCTTCATTAGAGCGCAGCAAATAGCGCGTATTAGTCTTAGTATGAATTAAATCAATGATGTAGCTAGATGCCATGCCACAGAGGGCTTTGAAAGTAAGTAATAAAATTTTAAAATTAATTCTATATCTTACTGGTAACCAATGTAAATTAATCAAAACGGGCGTAATATGGTCATACTTTTTACATGAGATAAGTAGCCTAGCTGCAGCGTTCTGTACTCTTTGCAACTTAGCTATTTCACAGTCCGGTAATCCATCGAGAAGTCCATTACAATAATCAATTCTAATTGTAACGAAGGCATGCAATACTATTTCTAATTTATCCCTAGGCAGAAATTGGCTTATTCTCTTGATATTTTGTAACCAGAAAAATGCCGCACTACAAGACATAGAAATATGGGTCGACATAGATAAATGCGAGTCGAACCAAGCGCCGAGGTTACGCGCTACTTTAACAGGCTTAATGTCAATAGTGCCGACACGGACAGAACAGTGATAAATTTTCAGCAACTGTTGTCTCGATCCGATAACAAGAAATTCAGTCTTATCATCGTTGATCTTTAGTTTGTCCCGGTACATTCATTTTTTATAGAGAAAAAAAGGAAAGCAAATATTTTCGAAAACTCTACGCGCCAGCAAGTTGACATGGCAAAGAACACTGCAGATAAACAACGCTCACCTCGATCGTAGCCCCTGTTGACAGCATTTAATACAAGAAGCGAAAAAATTGTAAATTGTAAAATTGTAATTTGTTTACCCACGGAGCACTAAGGAGTTCATAAGAACTCGATGAAACGTGTCCGTACGTTCCAGATCTAATTGGAATTTGAAAGTGTTAGTTTTTAAGGAGTGGGGAAAACCGGAGTACCCGGAGAAAAACCTCTCGGAGCAAAGGAGAGAACCAACAACAAACTCAACCCACATACTTCGTTGACGCCAGGATTCGAACCCGGGCCACATTTGTGGGAGGCGAGTGCTCTCACCACTGCGCCACCCTTGCTCCCCTTTTTACAAAAATTACAATTAACATCGCCAGGTTTCTATGCAAACATTCTGAGCCGGCTATTATTAGTACTATTATTATTGCTGTTGTTGCTGCTGTTGTTGTTGTTGTTATTATTATAAAATTTAATTTTAAAAGTACGATAGACAACATATAATAAATGAAAGGATGTAATGCACTTTTAAAAAGCTATTTACAATCGTGGAAAAAATCAAAATGACGGCAAAAAAAACTTTGTCATCCACGGTGAGTTGACAGATTGACAAAAGCAAATAAAGCTCTGCTTTTCTCCTCAGGAAGGGGAGTTATTTAAACCTTTGACGTTTTCTTTTCCATCATGAATGCTAAAGCTTGCAAAGAAAATAAAACTATGATTTGCCATGTTTGAAAATGCTGTAAAGATCTAATAACATCTGCGCATCTACTGTTTTCGGCTTGTTTACGCATGAATTCACTCACCGATGAAACTAATCGTTTTTTAATGGTTCCTTTTTTGATGATTCTGTTGAGATCACTTCGTGGGTATATACTAAGACAATTATTCACCCCAGGCTCAGTTAATATTGATGAATAATCCCGAAATAAATATGTATAAAAAACAGATGGTTTACTTCAGGGCCCTTTTTTTCCAGGCAATACCCGATGCCTGTCTCTTGTAACACCGTCGATACCAGCATCAAGGCTATATCAAAAAGTGGTGAAAAGGAGTCCACTTGAAAGATGCCTCTCTTGATAGAGACAGGGCCAAGGTGTTATTTAGCGGCATACAAATTGGTCTTCCAAATGGGCAAGCTGTGTCACAAGGTCAGTGGCCACACATCATTATGATCATGAATATGATCATTACATATTTGCAGAAATCATTTCCTTTCACCCAAAAACGGCAGTAAGTGCCTGAAACTGGTATTACAGATGGGTTTAAAGAAATGGAACACTAAGTCGTGTTTCTTTTACTTTTCAACTTTTGGGCAATGGTAAACAATCACCATATCTATCTATCTATCTATCTATCTATCTATCTATCTATCTATCTATCTATCTAGTATTTATTTTATCATCATTTTTCTTTCAATATATTTTCATACTATCTTTCGGCAAGGCAACATTCCTCTTCGGGAATAAATTAGGGCAACCACCCTAACCACTTCAGGTAAAATTAGAAGTTACTGTTCTCCTCTTTGATGCCCAATTATAGATACCTGCTTTATGCCAATATTAAGAGCCTCACTGGTCAGTTCACCTGGTCCCTCTACCCGCCATCCCATGTCACCAGGTCCCCAGCTGTTTGAGTATATGTCAACCATCTTTATTTTGTACACCAAAGCTGCTGACTCTGTGGCATCAGTTGACTCAAAGTTATCGTCATAAAGGCGAATCCCTGCAAAAATTGTTCAGGAGCAGACTGATTATGATAAAAAACAGCGAAATTCAAAGGCGAAAACAACGGTGCTGTACTTTTTTTCCGTTATCTTTCCACACAACATAAGAATCCAAACTTTTGAAACTTTCAAGCCTATTGTCTTAACAAATTAAGACCTTTTTCGTTCAATCTGTGCATAGCTATGATCTGTGCTTTCTGCAGAGCTGAGACTGAATACCGAGCACTTGCTCTTTTCTGCAGGACATCTCCCCTTCTAGAAACATGTCTTGTCTTGGCTGCGAGATAATAACATCTACATTAAAACCAAATCTCACTTGTGGCAAATTTGACGTTAAATATACTGATCCTCCCGTTTATTTTGGCCAAAACGGTCAGAGGTAAAAAGATTAATAACTAAGCAAGAATACCTAATAAATAGAACAGCTGAACATATGCTGTTTGACAGCTATCTTGATCGTCTATCTAAAGATGTAGTCACTCAAGATACGCATCACGCCTTTTTGACCACTGGTCTTCATCAGCCGTTTTATAGTGGTTTTGACCCGTAAAAGTTAGCGAATTTGACCGAGTTTAAACTAACGTCCCAAGTTTACATAGTACACTCACTTGCCAATGATTATCAAGAGTAAGAAATACGTTATGTGTGCGTGAAAAATGAATACGTCTTAGGTCGAACTTGAGAGGCGAACTCGTGGGTAGAAAATTACTGGCTTCAGTTTTATTATACTAGCAACTCACCTGCAATTTTAGCATTGTAGGCTAATCCTACGCCACACACATTGTTATTAGCTTCAGCAGCAATAACACCAGCACATTTATTGCCATGTCTAGCAAAACATTTAAAAAAGAAACAATCAAGTGTAAGGTATCAACCGCAGGTTTCAAAAGTGCCAGTTTTAAAATATTTCGATTTTACATCTGTATCTCTTTAAGAGCTTTCTGGAGCATTTTTTTCCTGCAAAAATTTTATAACACATACATAAATATTCCTGTTTTTTTGTAATAAAAATGTTTGCGAGATGACTTGAGATATCTACCTTTGGGTTGGCTATCCTTGACAACTAGGAACTGGCTAAAATTTGAAAAACAATGCCGCTCAAAATTTACGTATGTGTAGCAAATGCCCAGGCGTGGAAGTAATCTGAACTTAAGAATTCGATTTTAAATCACATTAAATACCGTCGGTAACGTAGCCTTTTAGAAGTAGGAAACCAGCGGTCCGAGAGAAGGGTTATCGCAAGTTTCAAGTTATGATAAACTGATAGTTAAAATTTTGGTAGCTCAAATGACAATTTTGAAAGGAAATTTCTCCGTTATTTGAGGGAAAGAAACACAACTAGATGCAGGTAGCAAGAGGGTCAAAAAGAATATAAACCACGTCTTATTCTTTGAGCCGAAAAAATGAACCACGAAAGGGTTAGCAAGATATAAACTTAACCACCCAGTTGTTTCACCAGCTCCTGTCATCTTCAGTTGAAAATACAAAGTATTATAACGTTAAATTTATCATACCTATCTACGCTAGAAATAACTGAGAAGTCAAATGAAAACAATGATAGCAATAATAACGACAATAAATAACAATGAAAGCAGAGGGTAAGTCAGAGAAGAACATTAATTTAATCTTAGTGATACAAAAAATGTTTAAATACTTTGGGTCCTCATTTGTTTAAAAGAGGGCCATCTACAATTTCAGAAGGAATTCTATGGGGCCCTTTTTGTGCAATTCCTAGAATAAATCCTTCATACGCCAGGGTTAGAGCTAACTAGTCAGCCCGGAATAGCAACGAGAAAAAATAGCAAAATGCCTAGGAATTTTCGCACAAACGATAGGCGGTTTTCAGCTGTTGACATAATATGGATCTGGGGTGTCATGACACCTAATTGCTTGAGTGTCGTGGGATTTGTTAGTACCATCATTTGTCTGACAAGCTTTTTATTTCCAGTAGGCTTTTTAACCCATTCGCTCCTGGAGATTTTGCCGAAAAACGCGTTTTGAAGCTAGTCGAGTGATTTTCTGGTCACTGTCGTGCTGTAAAGAGCTAAAACGTACCACAAACCGGTTTACAGGTCGTACACTTCGCGGCCTTCTGATCCAGATGCAAAATATCAGCTTGCGAAGTTCGGGCATGCGCAGAAAGCAAAATTTCGAGACACAGCAGTCTTGACTTTTACTTTTCGCTTTCTCTCCTCCCTTCTTTTTTCGCTTTTCTTGCCTGGTTTTTTTTTTCTCTTGCTGGGCATTTAGTAGGCTTCATTTTGGTGGGAAGAGTTTTTAGGAAAGCTTTTAGGATCTTAGGATTAGGTGAAAGGAAAGGTAGATGAGCAATTGAACAATATTTTCATGGAGATTTTCAGGTCAATGTCACGTGGTTTTTTGCTTCTTTCTCCAGTGTCCTTGACTGAATTGTGCTCATTCTGGTATGGTTTGAAAGATCTCTTCACTCTGCACAAGTTAGCGAAGAAAGTTGTCCTTGACCGTTAAAACTGATGACGTCACAAAGGGTAGAAAGGACCTGGATCCGCACGGGCGGTTACGGGCGGTTCAGGGGCGAATGGGTTAATCATAGAAACTATTTCAAAGATAGGTTATGTCCGTAACGTAATGTCCATAACAATACAAGTCTCTAAGGAAAACTGAAATATAAGTATTCTTAAGCATCTTTATACAAATATCCAAAGGTATTGAACCAAGTGACAGTTAGGGTACCAACTGAGCTCTATAATTTATCCACAATGAATGAAATATGTTAAAGCTAAACGAAAGTTTCAGATTTGCATAACAAGAAATTCAAACAGTGCTGAGTAAGAAAACATGTTCTTCTTAAAAGACCAAAATTGTTTTATTCACCTAAAAACTGATCAGCCGTGTAGCATCTTAATGAGACTTTCTCTGCTTTTTAATTTCTTTAAACATTTTTTCAATGTTTTGCTGTTTTGGAACAGCAAATGGGCCAGCACTCTCTAGGGTGACGGGGCCTTAAAACACACAAGAGATGTGAACATCATCAACGTCATCCCGGCTGAAAGTTTGTTTTAGAAAAGACGACCATCTTGTTCATGTAACTTTCAGAGGACAATGAGATGTCATAATTTGATTAAAACTACTGGTCAGTGGTTTTCTTTCAAAGAATGTTCAGAGCATGCTCTGAAAAGGAATAAGCTGACCAGCTATAATTAAAATACAGCTTTTGTGTGCTTTTGTTTCATTTAATTTTCAGGACTTCTATATATTGCTGATGGTAAACTTAACACATAAAAATAAATGAAATAAGCAATTTTTTTAGCATCATAGTACACATGATATAATTTTCAAGAAAAAATTCACAGACAGCAATGTCCGTAACACTTGGTGTAATGTCCGCAACACAACCTTTTAGGGAACCAAAACAGTTAGGATAGACCTCAGAGAAATTTAATGTAACTGAAGAAAACTTTGAGAATTTGCCAATAAAAAATATGCATTTGTTTCCTTCAAACCTTTCATGAATCACAGGAACTGAGCCTTAAAAGTCGTGATTAAAATTGGTGGTAGTTTTAGCTGTAATGTCCGTAACAGGCCTTTCAGTCAAAATCAGAGGAAGCTAAAAATTTGTTCTCCAAGTATTTTTTTTATTAAGCAAAAGGCAAGTCATTATGGTGCAATGTGGTTGATACAAAACAGCAATATACTGCATATTGTGAGCAGGACAGGAGATCAAAGTTAAAAAATGCTCTCTGAGTGTAATGTCCGTAACGGACATAGCCGTAATAAAAGACTAAAAAATTGTGAAGAATCAAGATGGCGGTCTCAAAGTGCCCTTGTTCGACCTTTAGCAATCCCATGCTTAAATAGATGCCAAGATCTCATTGGTTCCTAAGCATCAACTCATAGTACCTTCAACCTTACTGGCTCTTGCAACAAACATCCGAACATACAAAGATATAAAGTTACAAAGATACAAAGATACAAAGCCACAAAGATTCATACGCTCACACCACTGACACATGAGCTATTTTTTTCAAAATAGCTCAAAAATAGCTCACAAAGTAATAAGATACAAACCAAAGGCCTATGAATGGTAACCTATGTAGGAAAAAAAAACGGAATCCCCGAAATGGCCGGGTATTCTGCAGTAAAGCCACGGAATCTGACCTTATATTCACTGGAAGTAGAACCAACATACCAACATACTGAATTTTAAAGTTTTTGCAAATCACTAGATAAATTACATTCTCCGATTCACATTTGACATGTTGTCTAATATTATAAAAACGCTCGGTAGAACCACTATATATATAAAACATTACTTTCTCTGAAATAATTTTTACATAAATCACACTTGCTACTACATCTGAAACAACCGCTTTCTTGTTTTCTCTCTTCTTGTTAAGGACCAAATAAACCAACCAAATTAATATCAAAAAAGGACCAAATAAACCAACCAAATTAATATCAAATAAGGACCAAATAAACCAACCAAATTAATATCAAATAAGGACCAAATAAACCAACCAAATTAATATTCAATGAATGAATGAATGAAAACTGTAACGTTTTGTAATGTTTTGCACGTACTAATTAGTTGAATTAGTACTTAAATTTAGACTAATAGCTTTTGCAATACTGTAATTCCTTTATGGTCATGCAAATAAAGCATTTGGTGTTGTTGTTGTTGTTTAATAGTTTCTTTTCAACTACAGCAAATTGTTGTGGTTTTGAAGTATCCCCTGTGTGTATATATTTCATTGCGTGACCGCGATCGAGTTTGATTATTGAATTTCAACAGATTCGTTCAGAGTACTATGCAGTTGAAAGTTTGAACATAAATAAACATAAATTACGATTGGAGAGTAACGCAATTTTGTACCATGTAAACATTTCCGGACGATATTTCTTTGTTTGCCAGTTAATAAACATGGAATTTTAGGTCTAAGCTGTAAATTGCACAACATGAAATCAAAAGTACCATTTACAATACTATTTCTCCGTTTGAATGCAAAAGTTTCACGTCATTTGCTCCTCGTTATATCTTGGTTTAATATGGACATATAGATGCGACTTGGATGCGAATTTACGAAAAAGAGTTCTCAAGTCAAGATAAACTGAGAACGAAAACGTTTGCAACAAGATTGAACACATGACCCTCCAGAATACTGTCTGAATGTGCTAACCCCCAAACCATCAGTCTAACAGGGCTGATACTGATTACAACTGACTTTTTCCTGACTTTCACTGACCTTGCATTAGTTAATTTCTTCAGTTTTCAAAACAGTTGTATTTTTTTTTTTACAAGATTTGTAGCATTAAAACTGATCGACTACAGAATGGTTTTCCGAAACAAAATGTCGTTTTTTTTTTTCATGATCTTCACCACCCCGTAATAGCCTGAAAATATAATTCCCTTCCTTTTCACTGCTTTCGATTTTTCTGACTTATTGTAAAATTCCCTGACTTTTCCCTGAGCAGGATTGTCACTAAGATTTCAAGTTGCCGGGTAAATACAAAATGCAGGAGGAGAATCAAACAACTAGGAATTTCTTTTGGTTCTATTTTTCTTCTATTTTCCAATAAAAGTACCTGGGGACCACACTCATAGTTAATGACAGCCCTGCCTGAGTGTGGTAACCCTGACTTACAATATTATGTATTCCTTTTTGTTGTGAATCAGATTGTTTAGGAATATTCCCATTAGGATAATTAGACCCTTCATAAGCCCTTCCCTGCCAATATCATACCACCAAACGCCGATCAGTTTACTCCAGGAATTATTCATAGTCTGAGTTTAGAGTGTACACAGCGAGTTTATGTCCGTTTGTAACTGTTTTCTTTTTCACTCCCTCGCCATAGAAAATAGAACAGAAATAATTTTATTAAAAGCGTTTGAAGGATTCACTGAGGAAACTCTACATACCCTGACACCGTTCTTCCACTTGGAACAGGTATTTTATCATCTTCCACAAAATCGTAGCTTGCTGTGGAGTTCTATGGAAGAAAATATAACACAATTAAGATAAGCACGAAGCACTACAAACCATTCCTCAAGGAATGTTTGTTTCTTTAAATAGAGATTTGAGATGGTAGAACTGAAGTCTTGCCATTGCTCACATTGTCATCCCGAAGTTTTTAGAGTTTGTCTCAACTGATTCGGGATTATCCGAGGATCGATCGCGTCGCTGTTTATTTTTCATCTTTTTTTCCTCATGTGAGAATAATCTGTAAGTTTGTATTTGTATTTTCTTTGTTGCGTTATCGTAGAGGTTTGCCCTTGGCTCAAAATGTAACTATAGACAATATTCGCTTTCAGTTAAACCGCTCCCAGAAGCTTATTTTCAAGCGTGTTCAAACAACTACACGAGTCTACGAAACAGTCTAGTGTGTTCAATTTCATTTAACTTTACAGAACGAAAGTAGGATTTCAAAAAATTCTAAGGAATCACAGAGTCAAAAAAACCCTACCTGCAGTCGGACATGATGACCGGACAGATGCCCATGACTATCATCGGCATGGACACGGAGGCACAGGAAACGTTGCCTTAATAATTTTGTAATTTCACAAGTGATATAAATAACGCTGAAATTTCGTGCCATAATTAAGCAGTAATTTATCATTCATGATAGTAACAACCGAGTTGTTTTGGAGAAAAAGTGAACAACAAACTTCAATTTTTTTAAGGGTGCGGTTTTTGTTTTAAACAATGAAAGAAAAGCATAAGAGAAAAAAAAAAAAGAGAGAAACTGAAAGTAGTACATAGTTTGCAGAAAGGTCAGGGTGTTTTCCGTCAACTCCATCATCTACCACTGCCACCAAAACTCCTTCTCCCGAGTATTTCTGCCATACAGATGTTATGTTGTATGTTGGACCTTTCGCTCTCTCCTAAGAACGTAAGAAAGAAGAGTACGGGGTCAACATTCAGTTGCAAAACAATCAAATGCTCTCACTGACAACAAGATAGTCTTGATTGTTGCTAAAAAATAGGTTCATCCTGTAGGCATACGTGTTTCGAGTGGGTAATGGTCGAGTGGTGAAAAGAAGTATATTACTTAAAAGGTTATATCGTGCTCTTTTAAAATGCGTTAGTCGTAAAAAAGATAACCGTATGTACGACACAAAGAGGCCTCTGTGGATGAGAGAGGCTTCTTACTATTTTTCACGCGAAGAATCTTCGAGAGTTCAAATGCCAGCAAGATAAGCGTTACCTTCTCTGTTTAAGCAAGTAATTAAGCTAGGGAGTTGTAGGAACCTAGTACATTTTAAACTAGACGACTTAAAGCATAGCATTCCTTTTTCGTCGGGTCCTGGACCTGCTTAAGTTATCCTGTCTGCTTCTTATTTTTATTTTATTTCTGTGTGTGCGTCGTGAATTTCCTTCCCGGGGAGTGCCGTGGTTAGTTCTTGCGTGTTGTGTGAGTATGTGCCATGGGGAAATGCTCTGGCATTTAATTTGGGGGTATAACCCCCTAAAATTCCTAACTGGGGGATACTTAGGGCACCAAATTTAGAACTAGGGCAACATATTGACCAGTCTATGCTCATCCGTTTAAGATCCCCACCCCACCCCCCTTACGCTAAGTATGACGCTGTGTCTGAAGCTAACGTATTGTGCTTTCCCCCTGTCGAGTGCTTAAATTAACATTAACAGAGGTACGCTTCAAATTTATTATGTTTATTTTTTGTTATGGTTTTATTACGTGTAAACTTTAAAAGCGTTTGATACGCACGGCATCTTGAGTACTCCTGCTTGCGATGTTCACGAACGACTGAAACAACTGGCACATCGATTAAAATTGCGCAAGATACTACTAACAATTATTAGTATAATAATTACGTTAATCATCAATATAATGATTATATTGATGATTATCGAAAATTGAGCGCTATGATTGGCTAGGAGCTTCACTTCATCCCGCTATAATCACCGCACGGTGATTGTAACATTCAAGGCTGGCAGTTTCCAAAACGGCAGCCAGATTTGTTGATGTTTCGGTGTCGGAAATTGATCAATTTAAAGAAAATGCTGTTTCTCAAAAAAGAAATAGATGCTACAAAATTTGGAGTCAAGCTATTCAAAGGTAGGTTGATAAAATTTCTCTTTTGCAAGTAACACAATTCAATGAAAACTGGTATGCTTGTTTAAATACATTTTTTTGGTGTCGGCAACTTTTAGTAACTTTTGCGAAATATTTTGTCCTACAGAATGGTTTCAACAGCAGCAAGAGTTCACAAATGAAATAGAAAACATGGAAGTCGATGAATTAAATAGATATCTGGCAAAATTTTACGTTTCGGTGAGGAAAACCGACGGCAGCTATTATAAGAAAACCAGTTTGTTGTCGATCACAGCCGCCCTCGACCGACATCTTTAAGCCCCAAACTATTTCAAAAATGTTTCTCTTTTTCACTTTATTTTCTCCACTAATGCACCTATCAATGTAAATCCCGTGGGGGGGGAGGGGGAGTGCAGGCAAAGGGAAATGCCTGAGACTATCCCCCTGTCGGACTTTTGATCGTGCGAAGCGACCCCGGGGTCGGGACATTTGACTTTGACCGACAGAAGCCTGGTATCAATTCAGAAGCGGTTACCAAGTCCCGTCCCTCGAGCATTTCTGAAAGTCACGCTGTTGGAGAAAGGTGAGAAGTTTTTATTTGTTTTAATCGCCATAATCCGATACTTTAAACTGTCATCTAAACAGATAATGTCTATTTTGAGAAAGTTTTTATCTTCAAGTTCCCATCTGATTGTAAAACTCGATTGAAATCGAATTCCACCATGAATCTGACCTGTTCCGACATGTTGAGCAGATGTTATAAAGCATTTTACGTTTCATTAATATTATAATAGCACGGTCAATCTTCCTGGAGTGATTTTGTTGTTCAAAATAAGAGATGCTAGTGGAGGGGGAAAAGAATTAATTAAAGCGAGTAATTTCACGGAACTTACGTTAAGTAAGGACGTACTTTTGAAATGTTCTTTTAATTCGTTTTATACAGTATTATAGTATTGTTTGTTTAGATTTTTTCCCCTGGGGTCGAGGCTTTTTTTGACACTTTTGATTGACCTTTCGTTTCCCACCCTGGGGAATTTGATCAAAAAATTTTAAAATTTGTCAAATCCCCACCCCTTGCCCGCACTCCCCACGGGGTTTACATTGATAGGTGCATAATCATCAAAGTACTTATACTAAAACAATCAGTCGCCGAAGGCCAATGCATTTGATAAAAATGAACTTGAGCCTGCGATCATTTGAAAACTAGTAACTTGTTAGCGGATAACTTCAAAAAATACTAAGCCCGCGATACGGTTAGGTGATGCTGGTCAGAGGATACCCTATTTTGACAGCTGTCAATTGATCACAACATGGATGAGCAATATCAGGTTGCAGGCTCTTAAACTAGCTATAAAGTGTGAGGTTAAACATTGGTTGCCCTGGTGCGGACGGACGGTCGTGCGGTCGGTGTACAGTCACCTGATTACCAAATTTTCTCGGATGGATAGATTTTCTTAGCTATGGGCAGAGACATCGGGGGAGGGTGCGCGTGGTGGAAATGGCCCCAGTTAAAACTGATGCCAACCTGTTCTTGTTTCAAAAGGGTAACTTCTTATTTAGACATCATAATGGTGGAAATTACAGTCCCGCCTCAAAAATGTACCCATTTTTCTTGTTACTTTTCGTTTTCAGTAGTGTTCTGACAATGTTCTTTCCTCGTGACACTGTTGTGACAATCGCATCATGTTTACTGAGTGACCCGTAACTCACATTCTTTGATCTGCAAAATCTGTTCTTTCAAAAGTGTTCTTTGATATGGCAAAATACTCGAGTTTAGATAAGACACGACAAGTACATCCAAATAAGCGCTGCACTGAACACCTTCGGTTCTTTACATTTCGCAGGAAAAGGGAAAAAACTCAGCGATGGAGAGTAATCAATCATTTACCCACCGAAAAGTGAAAAAAAAAAACGACGTTTACCGTGGCTTCAGTATAATTTTCGCTTACTCAGAATGTTGTAGAAAAGATATCGATTTGGTTACGAATTCCTACACCCCCCCTCTTCCCCCAAGGCGCATTTTTAGGATCAAATGACAATGAGTTTAGTGATTAGGATTAGGAAACCGAGTGAATCAAGGGTCACCAAACTGGGAAAACAAACCCGAAACTTAATTCACTCAGTTTCCTGACTCTAATCACTAAATTCAGAGTTATCCGGTGTTCTGCATTCATCGAACGCCGGTTTTGAAGCCTCCGGGCAAGCTCTCTTTTGACTGTTTTCGACCGGTTTGAGGAGGGGAGTGTTGAAGAGAAAAGCAACAACAAACAGCAAAACTAAACCTACCCGTTTCTCTCCCCCACACCGTTTTACGAGTCAAGCCCACAGTTCACTGTGAGAAGTTTCTCGTGGACTACCACATTTAAGCACAAAACGAGAACATCTGCCCACAAAACTCGTAAATGGTGAAAAACACGGCAAAAGATTATTTCAAGCATTTTTTTTATGGGGGGGGAGGGACTGCTAGCAGGATAGAAATTAACTGAAATGTAAAAGAGGACAAACTTACAATGTACCACTGATCTTTAAAGCGAGGGTCATCAAACTTTACGGAAAACGGTTGGTACCGTTTTATTTTCTGCTGCTTAAACCATTCAACCTGAATATAGATAATAATAAAAGTAATAAGTCATGAGCAGATATAAACTTGATGGACAGGGGTGTGACGACGTGGCCAGAAAAACCATTCAAAAATTTAAAATCGGGTACTCGTTCCCTGACAAAGTAACATTTTCAGCAAAATCTACAAATCGGGTGGTTTCCTGTTGCTCTGAATGAAGGTATCACCAAATGACAATACAACAGATCAAAAAAACTGTGAAAAGTACGTAGACAACAACAAAAAAGATAATCAACAATCTTGGGGTGGTCCGCCCGAAAGGGGTACCGTTTTCAGGCTAGAGGTGTAAACATAGGCACGTTTAACGTGCATGAGCTATTTTGAATGCTTGTAACCGTTAGAAGAATGATGAATCTACCTTTTTCATCCTGTTTTTATGCGAAATTGGGTATTGCTATACATAAAAGAAAACGCGAAATGCTCAGCTGTGTCGCTCATCATGCTATACATTTACTTTCCTCAGTCTTTCCCTGATACATCTCAGTGGTGCAAATTAAACAAATTGTTAAAGTACAATAACTATCAACTCACTAAACGTTGGAGGTTTCTTCGGAGTTTCTTACGATAATGTGGCTAATCGAATACCGAATAGTTAGCAAATATTAGGATTTTTTTGATTGTGGTAGATGATTGCATCATCATAATTCACGAGGTTTTCACGTGCGATTCTACTCAATGAAACAGTCTTTAACTCTGACAACTTAATTCTTCGCGTTTTAAAAGCTACTTCTTCTGAAAAGACAAGAGCCTTTACTTAAGGCATTGGTTACAAAACGAAACAAGTCTTCAGACGTTAAAGTTACCATTATAACTGTAAAAAGGCAATCTGAATGAGATGTACAGTCACACTGGCACACGTGAAAGTGGTGAGAATTAGAGTTATCACAAAGTAATCGAATAATTAGGATTATAAAAATAACTTGTATACACAATTTGCACCTGAAGACGTTGGACTTTGCCCCGTTTACAATTTGTACGTGAACGAGTCTAGTCGTCTAGTCTTTGCTCAAAATATTTTAACAAATCACCTCCTTTTCTAAAATCTACAATAAAATCATGCATCTTTCAATGATAAGACTGATACTCCAACATTATTACTTCACTTCCAGTAGAATTGTCAAATTGTCCAAAGGTGATTTCTACTCATTTCATGTTATTCCACTCAATAAAACAATCTGTAATTATTTCGTCAACTGGCTCACAGTCCACACGTATACGGTGAAAGCAGTCACCGACAATGCATCTTTATAAACACTCCCCAGAGTGGAAATTTCCCATAAATTATAATGAAAAATTACATAAGGAAAAATGCAGGCAAAATAAACGAGTCAAGGATTCAAATTAAAGTTGTTTGGTTTTGAAAACGACGCTTGCCTTGACTTGAGTGGATGGATAAAACGAAGTTTTTTGAAAACGATCAAGTCACGGTGTTGGATATCAGTAAATGCGTATGCTTACATCAAAGATGGTTCCGTTTTCAGTTACTATTAGGGAGCTTAAGCAACTACGACGACGACCACAACGACGACTTCAAAAAAGTAATAGGTTTAATGATCAAAACAACAGCTCTGCACGTGCATCACGCTTTTTAGTACATTTCTTTGACGTCCACTGCACGACTACGACGTGAAACCTCCTAATTGCCGTTTTATGGAGGTCGTGGACCTGCGACGACGAATTTTCCTTCCTCTTTTTGAACCTGAATAAAATCCTTAAGAATTCAACTCCAGGAAAAGTTGCCTGCATTTGATATATTGAGCGGGTCCAAATAGAGCGATTAAGTTTGAAAGAACGCGAACTCATTTTTTCACCGACGTTTTCACTGCCGTCGTCGTCGTCCTTGCTGCGGGGATGGGGGTGGGTATTCTCCCTTTCCAAACACAAACGGATACGGTGGACGGGGCTCAGGTTTTGGTGAACAACTCGGAAGGATAGTTTGATCACTTTGCACGTTTTATTCTTTTACTTCGGAGGAGCGCGAAGTAAAGGATTCCCGACGCTCAGGAATGTCCCAAAGTTGCTTTTTTCGGAACACGATTCGGCACGATTTACGGTTCGGGTATTTGACGTAGTGAAACCGGATTGAGTTCGAAATATCTCGAGATCACTTCGTGTTCTTTCGGTTTCACTAGGGACTTTAATATCCAACAAAGCGACGGCAATGAGAACGTCGCTTAAAAAGTGAATTTGCGTTCTTTCAGTCTATATTATTCCTACCCACTTACTTTGTCAAATGTAGGCGAACCCTCCTGGAGTTGAATTCCTAGGCACCATATCCAAGTACAGTAAAAGAGAAATAAAATTTCGTCGTTGCTTGTTTACGTCTTCCGTAAAACGCGAAATAAGGCATGTTCACGTCGTAGTCGTGCAAAAACGGGAAGAGAAATGTACAAAAAAGCAGGGTGCAAGTGCAAAGTTGTTGTTTTGCTAATCAAACCTATTGTTTTTTTCTTGACGTTCTCGTTACCGTTCGCGTCGCTGGATCTTAAAGTCCCTAATAAATATTTCAGACGGAGCGCGAAGTATTAAAGGATTTGCGACGCTCAGGAATGTCATAAACTTGCAGTTTGTTGCCGAAGTGAGGGCGGAAGTTGTTCGAGATGTCTCGAGATCAGCTCGAGTTGTTTAGGGTGCTGACTGATGGTAAACAAAATATCAAATCAAACTGTTCACCATCAGTCAGCTACTAAATTTGCTTCCATGTGGCAAGATATAAAAAAAAAATTACCAGCATGCAAAACTGCTAAACTAGTCACTGCATTTCTGATATTGCGCAAAAAAAAACAACAACAGCAAAACTACCCAAAATATATTAACGACGTTGTATCGAAAATTCTTGAGAAAAAAAAAACAATTAGCAGATGTTTTGTCTCAATTTGTGATCTTCCTGAAATTGTAAATAGCCATCCAACAATTAAATGGCGTTGAAAAAAATGGTGTTGCAATTAGTTTGATGCTAAACCACAATTTTTTTTGACTAAAATATCCTTTCTTACTATTCCTCCGCATTCACAATTAATTCCACAACCCCGACGCCGAAGTGTACGCTCCCACAGCGTCCTGTTATCATTTGCTGCGGCGTTCTTTTTTTCTGTTCACTGTAGAGCCAAAGATACGGACGAACTCTCTGTAAGCCACTAAAAAAGCTTAAATTTCCTGATCGGTCGCTTAGACCACAGGAGATCTCTGCCGAGAACAAGTCCGAAGGTTAGTAACTCGGAGGTACCCCCACGATTACTTTGATCGTAAGTCTAACATATAGCATGGATAACATAGATCAATCTACAATACGGCATTTTTTTTGCGAAAATTTCTCGGCTACATATAGGTCGCATTAACGCCTTGCGTTGAATAGAGTTTGACCCAATGCGAGAAATTCAGCAGTTTCCAAATTTAGGTCATAATCGACGTGAAAATGATAAGCAAACTTTAAACGATCATATCTAATTAACTATGAGATTACCTCCTTATTTTGGGGATCTTTATAACAGATGGGTTCTAGCAAGTCTGCAAAAAGCTGAAGGACCTTATAAATGCGCGCGATTTTGAGCAATACAAAAATAGAAATTATAGTTTTAGCTATTTGTTCACGTTTGTCAGCGTTTAAGAGTGCTTCTCACAAAAAAAGCATTTTCTTAAAGAGTCGTAATTTTTTTTTCCCTCAAATTTTTGCAGGGCCAGAATTGATTTACTAACTACACGGATTCTGAATTTCATGGCCATTGAAAAACGGTGACATTATCTTTCATAAGCCCAAACTTGAGTACGCATTGAAGATTTTTAAAGTTTTAGCTGATGGAATACACCTATACCTATACCTACTGATCGGTGTAGTCTACCTCCTTATGTTAGGGGTTTCTTCGACGGGGACAGCTCCCCTAGCGAGAGTACTCCAGGACTCTGACAAAGCTTTGATACTTTCCTCGTTTAATTACTGGCGGCAACACAAACGTCTACAGCTCAGCTTCTTACAACAGCTAATCACGCTCTAGTAACCATCCAACTATACAACTTTTATAAGCATAACGCAGGTACGTTTAGGCTTGCTGATCATGAGAGTTACGAAAGCTATTCCGAATGACTTCTAACGAATTTCCCGTTGTTAACAAAAGTGGAATAAACAATCCTACAAGAAAACCAATGAAAGCTCGACAGCTAAATCCACGAGGCTAAACCTTGAACCAAAACAGGAACTCTGATGTAGGTAATAAGCAAGGTCAGCAATGGTCCCAAAACGTACCCACTTAAAAACTGACAATCAAACTTAATTAAACCCCAAGCTTGATGACACTTCTGTCGACAAACCCATTAAAAAGGTAATAACACTCAAAAACCTGTTAACGCATATATTGGTTAACCTTGATTCTCAAACCCAAACATAACCAAACTTAAATCACGAGAAGAACAAAGAACAAACAGAACTGTCATCAAAAATCCTTATGATAATAATATCAAAAATAACCACAAGACTACTTCATAACACTTCTATTCAGGAGCAATAATTGTCGAATCATCAACATACTTAAATAGCGCATCATGATTACCTAAAGTGATGTTAAGATCATTGAGAAAGATGTTAAAAAGGTACGGCCCGCTAACGCTACCTTGAGTTGTCCCTTTGTTAACCGGTTTCCAGTCACACTCAAAGTTGTTGCAACATACTCTTTGTTTTCTATCCTTTAAAAAGTTCAAGTACCAATTGGTGATATATGGATTCAGTGGGAGCTTTTTTAATATATTTGCAAGAATTTTATGTTCACGGAGTCAAAAGCGTTGCTGAAGTCCATAGCAAAAAGGCGAACTGCTTTACAATCCGGGTTATTCAAGTCGCTGTTTATCCTGTGTTGAATTGACAAGAGAGCATCGGTACAGTTTCCACCCTTTCAGTAGGCGAACTGTGAGGTGCTGAGATGGCTTTCAATGGTCTTGCGGGTATAGCAGTGGTACACAATTTTCTCGAAAGCCCACGCTATAACAGGAGTTATATTATTGCCGCGATAGTCACCATGTGCTTTAGGAACATCCACTTTGGGTAGGGGGGATGATAATCACACGCTTCCACGATGATGGCAAACACTGAGTAGAGATTGAGAGATTCCAGATTTAAGTGATTTTAAGTGATAAAAGGCGTAAAAATCTCTGCGTGCTCTTTCCAAACCCAGTAAGGAATCTGGTCGGGTCCAGTAGCAGTTCTTTTAAGAGCGCTAAGTAAATTCCAGACCTGCCGTTCGAAAATTACCGGGATCTCCACCTCATTGCTGATTGTGACAGGAGTTGTTTCTACGTACATATCATCTGAGCAGAGCTTGGCGAAGTAATCATTCAAGTCCATAAAACAGCTGTTTTCCAGGTTTACTTTGCAGGATGCACGACGCCGCTGCGACAATTCACCATGCACGACTATCTGAATGGGCAGCCATAAACTTTCTCCTATTTTCCGCGAAGATGTCAGCCATTTGCTCAGACACGAAACTCTGAACTTCGTTCTGATGATAGACTTAAGTAGTGGTGTCATCCACGGCGGATCGCGTGACGACGTAGATACAGTTGTGACTCGCATACACGTGTCCATGTGACCGTGAATCTTTTCTTCCAATACAAAAACCGCTTGCTGAACATCAGGAGAAGCGAGCACATTATCCCAGTTTTCCTCCACAAGCGCAGTGTAAAGCGTGGCTTTACGATTCTTTCTACAATCCCGTACCTGGACTTTACAGCATATACACATATCTGCATGGAATTATTGTTCATAGCTTGGTGGACCTGAAGGCGACACACGATTGGATTGCACTGTAGTGCACTCCTTGACGCTTTGCTGAAATACCTCAAAATCCGACAAAAATCCCCCAGTTAGTACCAGGTCTACGTTGCTTCCACGCCAGTACAGAATGAGGAGCTTCAAAACCAACTGCTATTCGATGTAAGATCGCCTGAATGGACTACTTTCGAGAGACTCTCGGAAATGGGCACCAACAGATCGGCGCATGAAGATGAATATTCCAGGCTTCATTCAACTGCTTGGTAAGATCATACCCTCCAAGTCAGACGTAAACTGATGTTGAACTTTTTTCTTTCGCTATTGGACAGGTCGGTTGTAACATGTGTCATTGAAGCCCCTTTTCATAATTGGTACTGAGATCGGTAATTCAAGATCTATCGAAGAGCAACGAATACAATTGACAGAAATAAAAAGAACAAGATGCTGTGTGAGCGTATATTTGGGCGTGGTCGTACTACGGGTATGATACTTTGAACATGCCTTATTGCAGCTAAACAACTGTCATCATATCTTACCAGAGAAGACAAATCCTTTACTCCACTTGTTTGCTGAACCACACAGCTTATACAGTATGTCCCAATCAGCAACAAAAATAGTGTCACTTCACGACAATGTTTGAAAATATGTACACCTTCAATGCAGACACGCTTGGAGCCAAATTGCAACATAGGACATAAGTGGTTACAGCCCGGAGAGTAAGTTTTACCTCAGCTAACAGATGTGTTTTCACACCCATAACTTTGTACAGTGTATTCCGGTTAGTAACAAGGGCAAATAAAGCTCCTTAAGTCCAGTATCCACAAGGATTAATAAGAGAGTAACACATTGCATAAACTGCTATAAGTCAGCACTGTTTACAGGAACATTGGTAACTATTAACATTTGATATACTACAATTTTCAACATTGCTTGAGAAAAGATGAGGCTCAAAGGTGGCAATATGTACACCTTTACAACCCTCAAAGTTAAAATTTTTGTTCACTGGCCATTTGGCGATCAGCTCTTTGGGTTTAGTCTCGAGAGGAAATTTTTAGGCGCCAAATTATATTAATATATTAATATATCAAAATTGTCATTCACAAAAGCAGTTAGCAAGTTTAACTTAAAATGCAGCACTGTCTATAAATTACTCGTTTATTGTGCAAGGCATTAGTTACTGATAGTCTGAGAATATGGTTTGCAGATTCATCTCCTTGAATCAATACTGAAACGGAATTGTAAAGACAATTACCATTTCCAGTTGTCTTTAGGACCTTCAATCCTTCTGCATAATCCCCAGTTGGTATATGAGAGCACAACTTAACTCATCCTCTGTTAATGGTTCAAAATTTCCCAGTCGCAAATTGATATGCGACCTTTTTTTTTTTCTGATATTTGTTTCGCATTTCTTTTGCAACTTCTGTTGATGATGAACTTGTTTCCCCAACTATCAAACATTTTTGGAGATTTAAAAGGTCGTTTTTAATATCGCTAGACATCGCGAAAGCCTGAAAAAGGCAGGAGAATAAAGGAAGATCAACAAGTTTTCTAAATCAAATCATTGCTTTATAGAGATAACATCGCGCACGTGAAAATTTCGCAACGAGTTGTACTGGGAAAAAATGTTTTCCCCAATCAATTGAAAGGAACCCAAACAAAAATGCCGCTTACGAAATAATAAATTTTCTTTTTCCTTTATCATCGCTACAGGTGTTTAAAAAAAACCATTTTTTGCAACAACCATAAGCTGTCAGTTTCGCGATGTTTAGTTTCGCTTACATTTATCGCTTTTGTTTACAAGACCGCGATTCAACTCGCAGCACGGTTCACATGTTACGGTTATCACATAATGTTCTGTGTTGAAATTGCACCAATTTAGCTTTCCCTCTTCATGTTATTAGATTGTTTCAGTATTGATTCAAAAATATTTATAATATGTAGTCCAGTTAAAAAACCACCCAGCTTGGCTTGACAAGCATTCCTAAGATATGGAAGAAATCGTCACTGTCGACAAGCAAGGCGCTTCGATTGCGTGCCATTTGTCACGTGTCAAAAGTTAAAATGTCACGTGCAAGGCAACAGACTGAAGGCGATTTGGCGAACGAATGCAAGTCAAGTTTCATTAATGTTCATTTTCAAAACGCTTAGCTCTGAGATTTTTTAAGTTTCCAATTTAGCATGTTTTTCAACAGAAAAGTAAAAAAGTAATAGAATTCAAATCAGCTAGAATAAATGTCCTTATATTTCAGTAGAAGTGATTACCATTTCTGTTTCTATACGCCAACACGAACCTATTCTTCACGGTCGCCAGCTTGGTGACTATTCTCCAAATCAAGTCGCCAGTTCCAAAATTTTAGGCGCCATGGCGACTAAAATGGTCCCAACTTGGAGGGTTGCTTTAAGTTCATATATATCCTCATTCCTATGTAGAGTCTGAAAATATTGTACTTATTTATGCATGGATGGTATTTCCAACAATACACTTGTCCCTTCACTATGGCTGTTATGATACATATCTCTAGCATGAGAATCAAATGCATTATATCCCCCAGCCTTAATGCTGCAGATACCAATACCAATAATTGCCACCGTCAAAATGAATGAGTTGTAGTTCAGTGCCAAGAGTGTTTGAAATGCTGTAACCTGTGAGTGGCATATACTGAGTAGTGATGGATGTTACAAGTATAACTGTCACTGTATTCAAGGTGGAAAAATTGCTCAAACACTGTAACCATTCCTGGCAATTCTGTTACCATTAACATAGATTGTCTTTCAAGCAGTGACAGACAAGAATATAATTGAATACCAACAATCATTATTTGAGCCATATCATCAACTGAAGTCATCTTTGTTATCTTACTGTAAATTAAAGCGTACAGACTCATTGCGACACATCGTTGTCCACCATTTTCCCCAAATCCTGTAACATTTCCTTGACAGTATGGAGCATTAATTGTTTTTGTAGCATCTACATAAACTGAAGGTCCTGGATTCTTCTCTATATCAGTACAAAGCTTAAATTGGCCAAAATTAACCCAGTGATTCAAACTGTTTGAAGCACTATAAAATGGATAATTACATGTACAGAGGGGCAAATTCTTACTTAGAAGCCCATTTGGATATCTCATTCCACCTAAATCACCTGTGCTCTGCTGCTTGGACGACAGATACACCTTCCCTCGTTTACGAACAAGTTTTGTAGTTGTCCCTTAAGTAAAAACCTCACACTGTTACTGTTACTTCTGTACCTGTTTAAATGTAAACCTTTTCTACTTTTAACGTAACGATGAATTTCAGACGACAATGGTGTATTTTTCCGAATACTCTTCCATACAAAAAGTGTCACTTTCCGTGTTTTCTGTAACAAAGATTTTAATTTGTTCATTGGTAGTCTGCTAGGGGCATGACGGTACTAACCGGTCATTTCGTTCCAGGGTCAGATCGTTGACATCGTTCTAAGTCAGATCGTTCCATAAAATAGTCAGTTCGTTCCATAAAAAAGTCAGTTCGTTCCACATATGAAAAGTCAAGTTTGTTGAGTGAACTTTATCGAGAAGAAATAGGTTTCGTTCATACCTCAAGGTGATAAAATAATGATCGATCCAAAGTCTGTTCGATCCATCCTAAATCGTTTGAAAACAAACAAGAGACGATTTCAACCAGCCACGGGCCTTACCATTTAAACCGCTGCTTTGAGAGTTTTGAGCTAGAATAGATCGATAGTTTTGAAAGATATAGCACAAGTAAAAGCTATGCCGCTCTGAAGGTACAATATTTCGAGGCGCTTGTAACCTAAATATTTCTTTGCAGCGGCCGATTTATGCAAATTTTGAAAACACCGCGAGTTTCCTGATTGCAATCTCGATTTTATGGTAATTTGTCATGCCGAAAATATAATGGACTAACCTGGTTTAAATCAATGAAATTGTAAGTTCTGTTATAAATAAATTTCCCACGACGAGATCTCAAGTCAACTTCTTTTATTTCCTCCACAACACATTTTTCCTTCTGCACAACTACCTCATTACCTTCTCTTGTCGTCACCTCGCTATCATCAAAACACTAACAAAAAACTTGCTGATAATGCACAATCCCGACGCACAGCATCGTATGAAAAAACACGACACGCAATACAAAAACAAGTACATTAACCGTCACCCTGCTAAACAAAATTGAAATAATAGAAAGAATTGTTGCAGTTATCACAGTAGTTCCAAAAGAAGCCTCAGTCCCTTTTGGTATCAATTGTTGACAATCGTCTCTTCCTTCATCGGAAAAGATTTTTATCACGGGCAACTCGTTGTGCTCCGTAATGCAAAAATCAAAATCACTATTGTCACAGTGATAACCAGCTACACAAACCTTGCGACTCTCAAACTTGTTAAACATTCCTCTGTTAAAACTCTTATCCATTTTACACGTACACTCCTGACATTCTGATTTGTTATTACGTCTATGGGGTCCATGAGTCTTTCTTGTCATTGAATGTCTTGATAATTTCCTGTTTTTCTTTGAGTTCGCGGACCAGCCCATTCCGAAAACACTCAGTGTTATTTTTTTAGTGTAGGCCTACCGCGAAAATTGTGTGCATTTGTAAGTTTAACCCGCGATGACATGATTGAACAATATATTAACACGTTCCCCGAAACGCCGCGGCCAAATGTTATGCAAACTGCTTCTCATGCTTCGAAAAATTTCGGATCAAACGATATCCAAATCGTCCCTCATTGGATCATCCACTCGACCTAACAAATTCGACCAATCACAAAAAAATGGACATAAAATAAAGAAAACAGCAAATTCAGATGACCTCTTAGGAAACATGCAATTAAAACTGTCTTTCTGTGATTGGTGCATTTCGATCCTCTCGTCAAAAAAATGTCAGACGTCAATCATCTTAGCGGACCTCTTAGGAAACGAAAGTTTTCTTCAACGGGTTCCAAAGGTCATTGTTTATGATTTGTGATTGGTGGATTTCGATCCGTTTTTAGTGTTTCTGTGTTTCAAGGTTCGTTGCTTGTGATCTTATTGTGACCAAAACCCGACGTTAATTTTCCAAATATTTTTGATAGATTTCATCCCTGGACTTCAGACTTCCAAATTTCGATGAGGCAAGAATACTGAAGATTCAGATTAACTTTAGAGATCGTAAAAGTGCGATTCAGTGCCGTGTGCAAGCAGAGCTTTCTTTCCCACATGCCTCTTACCTTGTACAAGACGATCGCATGGCAGACATTCGCCTCACTTCGCTTGTTTACTTGCCTTGTTTACGTTAGCACGTATTGCGTGCCTATTGCACATTTGCGTCAAAACAAGCCGTTTCCATTACTCTATTTGGGCCGCGCCCAAATAATAAAGACCTGTTTTAATATCGGGCTGTGTAAAAGACAACTTCCGCTGCAGCAAATTATCCGGTCCCTTAGGCGCTACCTTTAGGGAACGGGCCTACAACACGTCAAACGTTGGCCACGCCCCTGTTCAAAGGAGCTTTAAAAGAGGCACCTAACGGCTGATCCATTTTAGTATTTTAAAAAATAGGTAAGGTTGCGCAACACAAAACTGAGTTTACGTATTTATTATCCAGCTACAGTATATTAGTTATTGTACAGGAAAAGCAGAAAACGCGTACAAATATACCACGATATTGTACAGTTAATTATTTGTACGTTTGGGTATTGTCCATTAGAAAACCTGCTTGAAAAGTCGTCACACAGGCGTTAAAATTTCCGGTCCAAACAAAAATCCAAATGGACAGTTTGCCAACATTTGAAGGAAAGGCCTAAATACGCTGGACTGTTTTCCTTACATTGTGTAGTCCCAAAAATTATCCATAATCTCCCCCCCCCCCTCTGGAGTTTCTACCCCATGGGGTGCTAGTCAAACCCCCTAACTCCTTGAATTTCCGTAATTTTTCAACTTGGTTGGGTACCCTCTGGAAAGAATATTTTTGTAAACAAAACGTTGTTGCACTATATTTTTATGCGAAAGATAATTCTTTTTGCTACAATAAGAGAAAAAATCTTTTCATTTATGTTAATACCGTGTGTAATGAACTCAAGAACGTTCTTAGCTATTAATTAACCATAGAGGGTGATACATTACACTACAAAGAACCAGTTACATTCAAACTAAACACCACGCGACAAAATTAGTTCAGACACTTTGCCCGAAGCGGGCTTTTTGACGTTTTACCGTCTCTAAAAGGGGAAAACAAAGCATTTTCTCTCCACATTCCCTCAATGCAACGTTGTGCTGCTGTTTGAGCTACCTGTAGAAAACAACAAATACCCCAACTTTCAATGGAAGGGAGGGGGGGGCATTTTAATATTCAATGCAGGAAAGCAAGACAGCACCGAGTTCAAGCCAACTATTAAAGATCGAGTTGTTCCACGAAGTTTTGGTCACCATTTGCGTGCTTTCGAAAGCTTAGTCCAAAATTGACGTGTTAAGCAGATTGAAAAATTCCTGTAAAATTTTTACATTGAAGCAGAGGTCACCTTCGTAATTGCAGTTCTGAAAAATGTGTATTTATATTAGAGATTTTGATAACTACGCAAGAAAATAAACGTTTCAAGTGGCAGTTGTTTCACACACTGGTTTGATAAGTTGACTTTTCCTTGACCAATTATAATCTTTCCAGGTGCGTGTCACGTAAAAAAATCCGTCGCACATCCTCACTTTTATACTTTCAGTTCTAGTAAAAGTTAAGCGCATAAAAGTTGAATAATAAATAGATTATTAGATGTTTGTATTGTAGTATTGCAAAAAAAAAATGCTACGACAGGAATGAGTGTTTTTGGTTTGGTCTAGAGGTAGTTTATTCCTTACCACTTTTTCTGAATTTTTCAATCATTTTCAATGAGTAATAAATTAAAATTGACTAACAAATTCATAAGCTCACTGTGATTTGACTGTGAAAAATCACAAACTCGCTCATTTGCAGCACTCACTCTTCGCAACTCGTTAATAAAAACAGTTGTACAAGTGATCCAACAATGAAGTTACCTACATCATAGTTATTAGAGGAGACTGGTTATGAAAAGCGGCAAACATCAATGATAAAAACAACAGTGCTGCAGTTTATGTTGGAAGCACTCTGAAAGTGCACAATCCTTTGTTTTCTGTAGGCAAATTGTTACGGAATAAATTAATGCAACGTTTCTATTGGTCAATGCAATCAAAATGATAGGAATTCTTTTGAACGTTGTGCACTTTCAGGTCCACAAAAACATATAACAAAGGAGTCTGACGGGTTTCATAACCATTCCACTCAATTAACTATGCCTACATTAATCCCATACCGCACGTACATTGCCCAGCCATTTCATGGTCATGATAGCATCATTTGCTGACAACTCTCACAATTCACCACATTTTCCCTACCAACAACTGTGTAAATTTTTATTAATATTTATCTTTCTTGCGTATTCTCTTACAGCTGTTTTGTATACCGTGGAATAAAGTAGTTGTTGTTATTGGTAACTACTTTTAATAAAAATCCTAGTTAGTTTTAGGTGTAAACAACAAAAGTCCTAATTTCCGCAAGAAAACAAGACTCTTGTTAGTTGTAGTAGAATGGACTATCAATGCCTGACAATTGGCCAGGGTGTCCGGGTTTATGGTACAGTGTACATAGAGGTTTTTTGAAGCACGTGTACAGTACTATCTTTAAGCTCAAAATATAACTGTTGAGTGTTTTAGCTAATCATGTTGTGTATATTGGTAATAATTACCTAATACCAGTACCCCTTGGGTGCCCCTGATTAATACTAACTGGATTTCCAAGTGCAAAGAATCATTGGAGCTCCTTACCTTTGTCTCCAAACTCAGAATTCTATCAATTTCTGATGATTCAGGTGATTTTGCCGACCGCTTCTTGAAATCTGACCTCTTGAAAGTGTGGTAGTCCTCAAAGAGCTGAGAGCAAATTAATAAGACTTACGTTAAACCCAATTCATTACAGTTAAATATCTGCTGACAGCCACCGGCACCTCTCCACCTTGGCCATTTAAAAGCAAATGATATTCAAACTGATGTACTCGCTGTACCTTAGGTGCTTTGGTACTGCATTATTGAGACATATTTTGGCTGCATAACGTATTACACCCGTTCTAGCCTCCCATATTGGACACCTCTCCACAACAGCCCCTTACAGTTTACCTCCATCCCCAAGGTAGCAGTTGTAGAGAGGTTCGACCATACCCACAACTATATGCATACACCCATAATATATAGATAATTTCAGCCAAGGCTACTAGAAAAGTAAAACTTATAATTTACATTTTAAAAAAAACTTGGAACCATTGTAAAGAAATCTTTAAATCTATGCTTAACTTTAAGGGAGGGCCACATGATTTTGGAGAAAACAAATCTGCAAACACTATAACAGTGATACCAGAATGAAAAAATTTCTCAATTGCCCACCTACTGTAATAACCAGCCATGAGCTCATTCAAACACAGACTACTTTAATACAGACAAGTGATTGAGTTACAAGTCATGTCACGAAGATGTGAAATGGTCAAAGTCACACTGGACTGTCATACATAAACTAACTACATCTTAACATTACTTTCCACTGAGAAGGCACTTATAGCTCTATAACAGTCCAGTCTTGGAAGGAACAGAAGCAAAAATTGTTGACCACTAAAACAAAAACTGATTCCCAAGTTTAGTTTAAAAGTCACACTTTACACCGATAGTCTTTTAAATATGTAGTTTGAGGATCATGTGCACATGAAGTGTGGACACAGATCGTGAATATTTTCAATATATACATGTATAAACACCCTCCCTTTTATAGAAAAAAGAAAAACTTAAATGAAAACAAGACTTGGAACTCAAACAAGTGAACAAGCACATACAATGAAAGTCAGTTCTTTAAAAGAGTCCTTACGCTTATGACTAAGTAAGCAAATAGTCTTGTAGATGCTTGGGCAGCTGGCCATTGCGTGTTGATTTTCTCAGTGATGTGGAAAACAAAACAGACTAGACAAACAAGATCTGTTTCTCTCTTTTGCAGGCATTTAAAACCAAGTTAATGTAGAAATGACACTGTACACCACGATTTCTTATAGATAGCAGGGAATGTTGTTTCAAAGTGTTACATTGTGCTTCCATGGCAACCAAATTTTCTCTTCAAAATGGCAGTGTTGACAATTTCTTCACTGCTGTCTCTTCAAAACTAGCGTGAAAAAGTCTGTATCAAAAGGTGAAGACAGACATTGCCTCGACCATAGATGACTCGTGTAACGACTGTGTCCTTTGCAAGAGTTAGCATTAGTTCGCCTAACCTTTTTTACTCTTTTTTAGAGTTACTCAATTAACTATTCAGAGATATTATTAGGTAATTATTAGAATGACAATTTTAAGTTTAAACTATAATTAGAATTTACAATATATTACTAGAGTTTTATACATATGTTACAGTCTCCCCAATTAGTAAGGAACTGTGCCTGAGCTTTAAGAAATGAGACTTAATAAAGGTCATTATTATTATTATTGAAAATCATTTCAAATCAAACAAGTCGACAAAAACTTACATCGAGCTGATAGCTTCATATGTACACCCAAAAAATAGCAATCATCTTCGATCACAGTAGTTTAAGAGCCATAATAGCTCTTGATGACCATAGATTAATTAGGCCTGGCAAAAAAATCAGGCTGAATTTTTTGCGTTCGACAAGTTTACTTTACAAAAATAATCTTCCCAAAAAATCTGGGTGCGTGTAAACCAACCTTTTATACCATTTATACATCAAATCTGAGGTGAAACAGTACTATGAGGCACTGTTTTTATCATACAGTCCTCGTACAGAATGCAGTATTTCACAATTTTGCATTACAAATTGCACTCATTCAAGATTCAGGACGATCGAAATGGGCTTTAATTTTAGTTTAAAAAATTTCCAAAATCACATTTACGGCCAGCCGGTTCTCACTTTTGCGGTGCAAGCTGTAGCGAGTGCTTGAACGAACATACTAACAGAGTTAAGCTCCAACATAATAAAGAATTTATTATGTTTATTTTTTATTTAATGGTTTCATCGATGTGTAATCTTAAAAAGCATTTGATACGCGCGGTATTTTGAGTACTCCTGCAAGCGATGTTCACAGAACGACTAAAAACAAAATTAAAATTACAAGAGAGACTACTAACAATCAATAAAAGAAATATAATTCGATGAAACATCTGATACAGAGATAACATTTTTCGTTCACGAAGACAAGTACTAAAGTCTCTCTATGTTTGTTTTAAAAGCCAGCCTCCCGGATTTACTTTTTTCAAAGATGAACACGAGGCACGAAAATCTCTCAAAGCTTTCTTTTACAGCCAGAATTATAACTATAAAATATTCTTTGGAACATTTTTCTTTCTATTTGCGGTGAGAATGAAAATGTCTTAAGGCTTTTTAAAGTTCTACAAGGTTATATCAAACCTGATTCTCAGTCAGATCAAATTGTCTCAAATCTTACAAACGTGCATAAGCCAAATAGCCACATAAACTACGCTCGACTTAGATATAAAAAAAACAAACATCAAATACAATAATTACTCAGGCTTACCATTCGAGATGCAGCTCCTAAAAGGTATCAAGTAAGGCCAGTATCGCTTCAGACTTTTCAACCCTTACACATCAAGCAACTGGTGAAAAACAAAAACGATGCCATCCGAAATCGGATTCCGATTTTGACAAGTGATGTATTTCTCAACCAAAAACCAACTAGCCATGAATAAAAGAAGACTCCTGCAATAGCAGCTGAATTTCATTTTGTGCATCCAGTGAAAAAAGACAGTTAAAAACATCACAAGTTGACACAAAACTCTGTCAGCTTCAGCTGTCTTGAAGTAAACAAGTTTCAAGATGCTGCATAAATCTTCCGCATGAACTCACCTGTCAAATGTTGACCAATCAGAGCATAAAAACTGTAAGTAGAGCGTGACCATGGTGAGCAAAGTCAACAGCAACTGTCTTCCCTGCCTGTGATAGGTGGCTGAATTTTCGCGGCCGAGGTCAGTTTGAAATCAACATCTTAATTGTGCAGCACATAAACACAATATATTTCATATGAATTTAAAAAAAATTAAACTTGAGCCTGCGATCATTTGAAAACTAGTAACTTGTCAGCGGATAACTTCAAAAAAATACTTGACTTCGACTGGTCGACACCTGAGCCCAAGATACGCTCAAGTGATACTGGTCGGCGGATGACAGCTGTCACAACATTGAAGTCCAACATGTATGCATAATCAGCTGTGCTCTCCAAACTAAAATCATGGACAAAAGCCTTGGGACACTCTGGGGCCTTTCTTTGCCTTTCTGGGGCGTTTTCCAATTCACACAGGTCCAACCCTTCCCCTCACCCCTCAAACAATGTAGGACATGTGTATCCAAAATTTTTTCTGAGCTTCAACTTTGCACAGGATGGGGGGAGGGAGAACTGCAAGAAAATTTCGAAAAGCATGCACTGTTTTAAGAGGGAACCGACAAATGAAAGAACAATATAAAGATCGAAGTACTGTCCCAAGGACTTTTTTCCAGGATTGTAGCTTGAAAGTATGAGATTGAACATTGATCGCGATCTAGTAAAACAATTAGCTGGTCAGTGGACAGCTTCCAAATAAATCACGTCACCTCGATGAGATGACACATGAGCCCGCGATATAGTCATGTGGTAATGGTCAGTGGCTATCCTGTTTTGACAGCTGTCAATTGACCATATTATGAATGTGCAATATAGAAGACGTGGATTTGCCAAGACACACCTGAGACACCCCTCCCTTCCTTTTGATAGTCTCCCCTACCCCACCCGTACAATCTGTAGACGCGTAAGTACGTACACTCGGTCAATCACGTGACAACCAAACGAAAAGAGGCTGACCATATTCTATGAGTATCAGGCTCTGTCCCATGCGCACTTGCGCGCATGGAAGCCCTGCTAATAATAATAATAACAATTTTAAGTCTCAAGCATCTACATTGTTAAATGTAGCTTTAATAGCAAGGATGCTAAAACTATATGTACTCAGGGAGACATAACGTGAAAAAATTAAAAGGAAAATAAATATCAATAGATAGAGTCATATGAATTATTAAAATAGCAATAAAAAAGCCTAATATATGTAATGAGACCAAAACTAAAAAATATTCTCTACATTCGTCTTACGGAGACATAACATAAAAATTAATAAATAACAATAGATAGAACCTAATGAATTAAAGTAACTAAAACTATATATAGAGCCTAATATATGTATTAAGACCTAAATTATGTATCAAGCATTGCATAAAATACAATTATTATTCACTAGATCCTCTAAATCTATTTTATGTATGGCTGGACATACTGTAGGTGTTTTGTTCAAGGCCAGTTAATTATGATCTAACCCACTCATTAACAAGATGTCAGGTCTGATACCATAATTTTGACATTTTGCCAGAATAATATTGCACATTATAGTGTCACATGCCTTCTTTGGGATCTTACATTTGTTTTAGCGCATCTGACGAGATTGACAAATTCTCTGCAAAATCCTCCTCTGCAATTTATGCACATCTGATTCGTCTGTTTGACGAATGTTCCTCCTATCAATTGTTGTACACGATTAAATTTTTTTCTTCATACAAGGCTGCTGCCTAACTAGCGCCTACGATTTACCCACGGGTGACCAAAATTTCCAATAATGAGCCTGTACAGGAGCCTAAAACTTATATTCTTATGCCAACTTCCTGTTATTGAATGACAAAATTTTACCGCCAATAAAAACTATACAAACAAGCACTAGTCTTCAATTTCACTTCTGTGACTTCCACTGCAGTGCAGTTCAAGTTTCTTGACTGAAATAGTCGAGCTGTTATCGACCAAAAATATAGCGAATTGTTCACTTTTATGATAAAAGCATGAAACTTTGCCAGATTACAACCAACCCTAAGACTAATATTTCTGGATATGGAGCCAAGCCAAATTCAACACTGAACACGAGTACTGCGCAGGCCCTAAGATGGCCTACATGAAAACGAGGCTGACAGTGGAAATGCTTCTAAAATACCGGTTTTTAAGTGGTTTGGTAAATAAAACTTGTAGATATCGTGAAAGAAGAAATTTGCTTTGCTGTCATGTTATCTTTGGTGTCACATGACCCTTTCTTCCAAATATGGTGAAGCCGTTGCTGGGTGTCCTGTGCGGGAGCTGTGTTCTGTTCATTTGTGCATTTTAATGGGTGAGAATGGGCACCGATTCACACAATTTTAAATGATAACACTCTTGCAACTATTTTCCAATTATCTAGGGTTGGATTTGTTTTCATACAAATTTCAATTACCACATGAAAACAAGGCAAGAATCTTTTAAACTGTTTGAAAAGCGTCCAGTTAGCACTGCGTGCGGTCATTTGGGGGTGGATTCAGATAACATTGCATAAAAGCTTGAACTGATCAAAAGTTGTGATTGTATGACACTCTGGCTATTGTTTTCCATCTAAATGTAGAGCGCCGCTCAAAAACAAGGCAAAAATCCTTTTGATGATCTTAAAAGCTAGCCTCCAGTTTCTTGCCTCCACGTTCGGATGCTGCATTAAGCTATTTTATTCTCCTTTCAATTATTAACAAAGTCAATTACAAGGTTCAGAGCTGAATACAGGAGGTGGCCCGGCCCATATAGCTCTCCCCCCTTAATTTTGAAGAAATGCCAGTCTTTGAGGTAAAATTAAAATGAACAGGTCAAGCAGTAGCAAGCGATCGTGCCTCCTCACATCTCTGTTTGTTATGTCTAAAAAAATAGATGACAGGATAGTCTTGTGGAGGCCATTTTTGAGATACGCAATCAGCGTGCAAAGAAAGTACTGTCCGATAGCCCGGGGCTAGCCGATTTTGCTATCGGGCAAGTGAATTTTTTTGAGGAATTCAAATTACAGAAGAACTTTGAAATCAGTCTGCTCATCAAAACGTTTTTTGGGCTAGTTGAAATGATATTTGGGCTAGTAAATGTTAGCTTCAGCTTGCCCGAATGGCAAGCTGTAAAAATGACTTTCCTTGCACCCTGCGCAATTTAAAGCTACCAAATTGATACAGTAAAAACCCGCGTATAAGAACCTAGGTTTTTCCAAGATAGCCTAAACAGATTCTTATATAAATGGTATTTAGTGTAAAATTAGGCTAACTAGGTTCTTAATTAGGTTCTTAACTTTTGTTCAAGAAATAAAGCTGAATTTTTTAATGATCTGCTGTTTAATGTCCAAAAACAGTATTCTTGGAGGCTTTGTTAAGCAAAATACTATACTATTTTAATCTGATTCTGTTACAATCAAACCTATGGTAAAGTTTTATGTAACCATGCTATAGTGTTTAGAGTATTATTGCATACAGACTGTGTTATATATATATATTTATTTTTATTTTTTTGGGGGAAAATTTCTTAATTCTATATATATATATTTTTTTTGAAAATAAGAACCTGTTTTAGGATTTTAGCCTAAAATGGTTCTTATATGAAGGGTGCTTAAAAATGAAATTTTAGCCTAACAGGTTCTTAAATGTTAGGTTCTTATACGCGAGTTTTTACTGCATTCCTTTAAATTTTAAATTAACACATGAAAATATAAAAAAGATGATCAATCTGAATGTAATAAAAATAGCCATGTTTCTGCCCATTAAGAACCAGAAATCAAGCCTTTCAAACTCAGCTCCCTAACAGAACGTCGAGCGCTTTCACAAAAAAAGTAAAGTTGTTGCTATGTATGTCCTCAAGGCAGAGTATATTTAAAGTGCATGCTTATCCCTCATAATTGAACAACAACTGAGCTACTTGAAATAGATGAAGGAATTAGCTTAACTTTATTCATAATTCTAACGGTAATCTTTAATAATAATAATAACAATAAATACTTATATAGCACCGATATCAATATTGCTATTTTCATCAGCGCTTAAAAATAAAAATATTTCAAGAAAAAATTACTACGACTGCATAAAGTATACATGCATAAAGTGCATGAACCTACCAAAAAGAGTTAAAACAATTTTGTCAACACTTAAACTATAAAAATTACCTAGACTACTTAAATCGTAAAAAACTGCATAAAACCTCCTAAAAACGAGATTAAGAAGCACATAAAATCACAGCTTTCTGAAATAAAAATGTCTTTAGTGTCTTTTTAAAAGATGCTACTGAGGGGCTACTCCTAATCGCGTAGGGCAATGAATTCCGTGGTTGAGCAGCAGCAGCAGCAGCAGCAAAAGATGCGGTGCTTGAAAAATTTCTCAAATAAATTACAATTTAGACTACAAGCTGTAGGAAACTACAATACCACTCGATTGAAAGAGAATTTTCGAATAATTGGCGCAAAATTACTATGATTTGAGTATTTCAAGTCATTGTACTAGACGTGATGCAACACTAAGGCGGTACACTTTGGGTCCAAAGAGCGCTCGTTACCTTATAATTAGGGAAAGTTTAAAATTCAATTATCGACTTCTCGGTTAATGTTTTTCAATTTAGGAAAGTGTACCTCATATGAAAGGCTCATAACCAATTATATTGGAAGAACTACAATATTTTAAAATGGTACAGAAATGAAATCCATGGTCGTGTACTCATCTAAGCCGAGAAAAATGTTATCTTTTTCTACCACAAAAGTTGATAATGTCAACGTTTTGTGCATCGATCCAGCCACAGAGAAGTTGACCTTTTATGCGACAAAAAGTTCCAAATCAAAGGAAAATAGCGAAACATCCAACCATTAGAGCTGGTTTCTATCGCTAACTTTACACCCACAAGTGAGTGTTCTACTACAGACATCAAAAGGGAGTTAGGAGTGTATCCTCAACAGACCAGTTAATCAGAAACAAATGAAAATGGAAACTGCTGAAAAAATTAAAATGCTAAGGATTTGCAGTGGGTAGGAAGAGATTCGTATGGGGTTTTGTGACTTTGGCGGCTTTATTATCCCACTCAACCCTAAGATCATCGTTCTCATAGCAGCCGTATATACAGCATGTTAATCTCTTCCACGAACCACTTATTTCTGTCGACAGGCTGCTTGGGGTATTTGGCGCCATGTGTAATGACAAAGATTAGTTTCAGCTCATACTCCGCGAGCTTCATATTGTTCAAAATGCTCAGCAGGCAGTTTACCGGTACCAGATGAACAGCAGTAACAGAACTGAGTTGAAAAGAAGGGTGTGGCTCATTCATTGCTTATATAACTCACCTTACTCAAAATGACGGAAGGTCCACCAAGTAACGAATCTGTGTATCCATTTATGTGCAAAGCAAAACAGAAACACCCTTCTAAAATCGGTGAAGAATAATAATCGAAACAGTGAAATCTTTCCATGAATAAGAAGATGAGAATTCAAATGGTGAAATGAGATTTTACTAAGGAAATTTATTCCGCATACTTTAAAACTGTGCTGCACACATCCCACCAAACATAAGTTAACGCTCTTGCATCTTTTTTGCATAAACTGAAACAGGCTGACAATTACTTCGTGGTCCAGAAATTTCATATTAGTTTGAGTGATCATCAACAGTTAAATCAGAACCCATTCCACCAATGAGGCGATGCTAGTTATTTTAGTTATCCATGTATAGTACGGACGCCAAAGAAAACGATGTCAGTGTCACGTGGGCGTTGAGTCCTGATCTAAGCTTGCATCGGTGTTGAGATCCCTGTCATCATTTGCCAACTGAATGAATCTAATCGAAAAATATGTGGTATATGTTTCTTGAAAGAGAAATTAAGGACAACCGATTTTTACGTAATCATAATGCAAATTCAAGCACAGTGAGATGCACAAGCCCAATTGATTATCCTAGATCCCATCATGTCGGACAGACATTTTTTACCTTGCGTTTGCGTTAGCCTGCGAGGAAGCTCTCTCGATTAACACCCCTCCCTCTTGCGTCTCCTTTTGAGTGCAGTTTGCACGTGACGTTTCACGATAGCCCCAAATAGACAGCTACAACGTAGGCTGCACTTATTTTTTCCTGGTTGACAAGCGTTAAGTGCAAACAAAAGCGTTTGGGGAAAGAGATAGTTCAATTGGTTTTTTCGGCTTGCACTTGCGTTTGTTTATCCAGCCCTCGTTATCTTCAATAAAACGAGGCAAGAAGTGAAAAAGAAGATAAAGTGACCTTCATAGTGTTTCCTCAACTCGAGTACTGCTCATACAACATACTTGTCGAGCAGTTTATGAATGGGATATGTGAAGGGAACAACACTTCTGAAGCATACAAGTCTAAAGGTTTTAACTTTGACTAAGGGGTATATCGTGGCAGTCTGTGGCTATGAACTCTTAAATGAAAGAAAAACTGCTTCTTTGGGACGGTGTCGATTCACCATCGGCAAAACTGGTGTACAACCTACTCTTAAGATACAATGACATCTACAACTATCTTGAAGATACAACTATCAGAAAGGGGTCTCTTCAATTCCTTCAATATGGCATATTCAAGGAAAAAGTCTATGTCATGTGACTTTCGATTGTCGTCTGTGGAGAAAAAAACTCTGCACAAACACCGTGCGATCACAATTTTTGATCAATTCAGGCTTTTAGGTAATGGTCTATGAATCCAACTCAAGATGACTGCACGCAGGGCTAACTGGAGGCTTTTCAAACCGCTGAAAAGATTTTTGCCTCGTTTTCATGTAATGATTTGCATTTGTATGGTAAAAAACAGCCGTTGATAATTGGACAATAGTTGCAAGAGTGTTATCATTTGAACTTGCCTGAAAAGTTGCCCCTTCCCACCGCTTTAAACACACAAATGCACAGAAGACAGCTTCAGCACAGGACACCCAACAATAGCCCGCCATATTTGGAAGAGGGGTCACGTGACACCAAAGAAAGCATGACAGTAAAGCAAATGTCTTCTTCCACAATATCTACGACTTTTATTTACAGAAACACTCCCAAATGGTATTTTAGAAGGATTTCCACTAGCAGCCTCGTTCTCATGTAGGCCATTTTAGGGCCTGCGCAGTACTCGTGTCCAGTGTTGAATTTGGCTTGTCTCCATATCCAAAAATGTTAGTGTCAGGGTTGGTTGTAATCTGGCAAAGTTTCATGCTTTTATCGTAAAAGTGAACAATTTTGGTCGATAACAGCTGGACTAAAAATGATCTCGAATGAATTATTAGTCTTAGAAAAACCTTTGGAATTAAAATCTTGACTTTTTCTCCAGCAGTTTACTTTTAGAAATGTTAGGTCGTTGCTGTGTGTATTTTAATAGAAGTTGAGATGTGTGTAAAAGCAAAAGGTTTCAAATTACATGTGACATAAGCAAATTTTTACTTGAAAATAAGTGTTATCTATTTAACTAGGAATGCGAATGAGTACACTCAGAGATTTCTTTTATCAATTATTTAGCATTATATGTGCCTTTCTATTAAATTTTATTGATGTACGCTTTGAGGTAATTTTTGAAAGGCTCGCAAGAACATTATAGTTTTTGAAGAGGATTTATGACAGCTATTCAAATCACATTTCAATCTCTTCTTTTTATATACGCTGTCACACGCAACACACATAAATACATTCCTTCAAATGTTATGCACCAAAAATAAAAACATTTTTGACAGTCCAAAAGATAGACTTGATACAAAAATACTGAGTCAATTTTCCAAACTTGGTACTCTTCGTTTAAACTGCTTAAATTGTACAAGCAAGTGCTGTTCAGTGCATTCACTTTAAGTATGAATGGTTATTGTTATTTTTCTTGAGAAATAACTCATTTCTCCCAATGCTTTAAAGTGGTGAATAACAAAAATGCTGGTTTCACGAAACTCAAGACTCAATTTTCGCAAATTTCAAAACTCAATTTGTTTGAAATTGTCTCGTCACACAACACTCCTCAGTGCTGGGTGTCGAGCACGGTACATCGAGTTTCAAGGATCTGGTTGAGACTTTCAATTTAAGATACAGACACTATCGATAATGGCCTGTACACAGATGTTGTTTAACTTTTCTTTTTTTTCCTCCTTTACACCCCAAAACAAGAGACAGAAGACATGGTCAACACAAGCTTGTAGTATGACTGCATCGCAAGTTCACATCAATGTTATTTTTTTATACAAACTACAATTGGTAAGTGTCGCAGTTAGCACATCCCACGATGACAAACTCTTCTACTCACATGACACAGGCGTGATGAGTCATTGACATTATGATGACAGGATAATCACCGATAATAGGCCATTTGCACTAAGAGGCCATGTGACATCGTTTTTATGAAAATGAAAGTTACATGATTTTGCCTTTGAAAAACGATTAGTGGGTCATATCTTAAACAAAATAATAGTCATTTGGTTTTTCAAACCCGCACCATTTTCTTAAAATGAATAAGTTCATAAATGGTTACGTGACCAAAATGTGATTTTTAAAATTATGAATTACCTCTCTTTGAACGCAAACTTTGCACTTAAACTTCAAGGAAAATGTTGAAAAGATAATGTGATAACGTTTACAGCACATCTGAGCGTAACTATGAAACGTTGAACAAGATATAAGCAAGAAGTAGTTTTGTCCGCCATGTTGCAGGGCAAAAGCATGCCCTCCAACATGGCGGCCAATACAAATCATACTACTTTGCTGAAAAATCAAAGTGCCATAAAATATCTCCCTTAAATGCGTTTCCTCTCAAATTTCGGGTGTAAGATAATTTTTGTGTACTCTGTCAATTTTTGGCATCAGCAAGATTCCAACTCATTTTTTAAAGGAAGCATTGGTCACATGACCTCTTAGTGCAAGTGGCCTATCACTTACTTTTCCTGGGAAAAGTAAGTCTCAGTTGCTCCCAATGATGTCTACAGACCATCTGTTTCCTTCTTCCCCACCCCTACCCCCTTGCACTGGCAGTCAACAAATCCCCCGCAGATCTGTTCTTTATCACTTGTGCTTGACGGACTTTGAAAAGAAATAGAGGGTCCGTGAACAGGCTATATTGATAAGGTCATCCTGGTAAACTAATTAAAACTAGGTTTAAGTACCCTGGCTCCAAGGTTCCATTCTCGACATACAATAAAGTAAAAAAAATAGAATAAACCTCTAGCACCCTGCAAAAGGTTGAGGACAAGAAATTAAAGAAACAAAAAGAAAAACAAAAAACAAAACAAAACAAAACCAAAAAAAGGAGATTGGCTCTCCAATGTTAGCTGACCTTTGATAAATAATAAATTTGAAGCTTATCGATTAAACAATTTGTGCACCACTTGTCGTGTGCTAGAGGTTGACATGTTAATAAAGTTACTTATTTTTTTTGGAATGGGCTCGTATAGAAATGGGGCTGTAGGCTGCTCACTTTTTATTTTAGGAGCTTGAAGGGGTCCCTTATTCTCACGCAGCAGCCTTGCCATTTAGGCTACAGAACCCCTTCCATGTTAACACAGCAACAGAAATTAACCTTGCTTATCTTGCGACATCGATGCCACAAACACAAGTTCATATGGTTGCGTTCCCTTTAGCCAAACTTTTTTGCGGATTTAGACAATCCAGATTGTTTGGATTTTATTACTAGCCTGAACAAACATCTGAAATAAAATTGATCCATACAGTAGCTGCCTGCTTCTCCGATCTTCTTCTCAATTTCAACACATTGGTTTTTATTTCTTTTCCCTACATTAGGTAAGCGTCCTCTAGTGGAGCAATGGAAGGAAAAGTAGCTCTTTAACTAGTGGTGGTTCATATTCGGACTCGTCAACTTAAAATTATCTGGAATTTGATTCAAGGAAATTCAGAAGACAATTACGAATTCTCAAGTCCTGAGAAGCGCGCTCTAAACGCTCACACACATTGGACACTATAGTTTTACGGTGAGAAAATCCAAGCGTTTTCTCTTCCTTACAGATCTTTAGAGTTACAGTGGAACTTAAGTTTAATATAATACAATCCTTTAGCGGCATAGAACAAAGTAGGAGTATAAATAATTAATTTGCCTGATCCAAGTACGATCCAAGTGCGGAGGTGGATCGTTCAGATTGCAACCTTAGATTGGTTTGGTCCTGAATGGAGCGAAAACTCAAATTTCGGATCGCAAAATCCGGATCTAGATTGGTCAAAAGGCACGCAACCATAGTTCCGTTTCTCAGAATAATAGTTATTCTCCGACACAATATTAGCTTCGTTCCAAGAACTTTTCATTAGGACTTTTTACGATTCAATCCATGATGCTAGAAACAAGCTTTGGTTACAACATATTCATTCTCAACTAAGCAAGTTGAAACCCAACCTGTTATCGTAAGAGAAAAGTGAAGAAACTTACATGTTTGTCGTACAAAAAACCGTTTTTCTCAGCTAACTCTTTCGCTTCCAATACACTTCCACGAACTTTTACAGCCCAAATATTAGTGTAAATATCATTTGCAAAACTTTCACTCCCCAACAGAATTAGTAGGCACGGAAGAAAACGCCCAACTGCTGTACTGAAGAAAGCCATGATGAAAAATGACGAAGTCGCGGTATTTAGTTCTTCCTCTTGACAATGTCTGGTTTTGTGCTAAGCGGCCTGGCACACGGTCAGATTTCTCCCCGGCGTGGGGAGGGTACGCTGTGCAACTCTTCATTCATGTTCAATCTGTCCACCAACATGACAACAGAAAAGAATACGCCCTATTCCTTACTTTCCTAAGTTCAAAACAAAAGCATAAAGCTTTATTGTGATCTAGAGAAGCAATCAGTCAAAAACTACGTCTATTCCGTGTGTCGAATGACTTGCCCACCCTACCCACGCTGGTACCTAACAAAGTTTGAGTCACGCGGAATTTGCATGCTTGAGTGCTTGCCTAGATAAACATCACGTATCAGACAACAGCTGAAAGTAAGAAAATTTTCCAAAATATAGATGCGGATGCGCGAAACAAATCAATGTTTCCTTTTTGCTCTAAGACTCTACGTTTTACTTTCATTTATCCACAGCACGCGGAAACGGGACTAGAAAGTACAGGAGCCCATCAGTAGGAAATAAGCGTTGACAGGCCAATCACGACTCATAAGCTCGTGATAATGTGAAACGTGACCTTGAGAGTCTGCTTGAACAGTGGTTCTCTTTCTTTTTTCTCTCGCTCGAAGGTTACTAGCACTACACAGTGCAAGACGTGTAGCATTCTAAACTTTGACTGAGTAAATCTTGTTTTTGCCGCACTAAGTCTTATATTTAGAGGTCACGAAGCAGGTTTGTTACATGCATACTGAGTAATCATTTCCTGTGGTTCATGCTTCTGTACTAGGTGTCCCTGACAGGATTTGATTTCAGATGCGGTTGTTAAGTGTTTTATATCCTTTGACCTCTGTTTATTACGGCTGAATAAAGATTTTAGTTTTTTTTGGTTTTCTCCGAAATGACTGTATCTGAATAAATACATGCATGCATGCAAGTTTCTTTGTCCGTGAATGTGATTATTTCCTGCCATGTCAGTATGACTCTGGGCCCAGCTCTATAGTATAGTGCGGTTTGCAGGATTTTGAATTTCCACGGATAGTGCGATCTTCAGATTTGAGTTGTACACTATAGCTTAAAAACTAAAGCTACACCAAGTTTGGAGAAATATGCCGTGCGTCAGTCAAGATAATTCTCTTAGCGCTCACACAGTCCATTTAGTTTTTCTTAACGTAAGTGAGTCTTTGAACTAGAGCGCGATGTCTTGTTGTTCCTTCGTAGGTATTTTCTTAAGTTTTTGCTTAACAGTCGTCTATGCGACTGCTATGGATTCTTAAGCAAGACTGCAGTTTCGGAACTATAGCGTTCCTCGTCAGTTGCTACTATGGTAAAGTCTTAGGTACAGAGAGCGAAGCAGACTGTTTAAATACTGGTGGCTAGGATCGCAAATACTAACTTGCCATTGGCTGCAAAAGTAACCAGTAGCGTAGGTGTATCCTTGATCCGCGTTATGTTGTGTTTCCTTCAAGGTCAAAAGTGCTTTTTGGGCTGAACCGGTATGATAGTATCTTACTAGGTTGCAGTGATACCAGGTCACTGACATGTCGTAGTGCGTGTAAGTGTCTTTCTCAGGAGATTCGAGATATTTTCTCGTAACTTTCTCCGGCAAAATCAGTAGCCCGAGTGAGATTTCTTCCCACGAGTTATGACGGAGCACTGTCTAAAAATATCACAGTAGGAAATAAGCGTTGACAGGCCAAACACGACTCATAAGCTCGTGATAATGTGAAACGTGACCTTGAGAGTCTGCTTGAACAGTGGTTCTCTTTCTTTTTTCTCTCGCGCGAAGGTTACTAGCACTACACAGTGCAAGACGTGTAGCATTCTAAACTTTGACTGAGTAAATCTTGTTTTTGCCGCACTAAGTCTTATATTTAGAGGTCACGAAGCAGGTTTGTTACATGCATACTGAGTAATCATTTCCTGTGGTTCATGCTTCTGTACTAGGTGTCCCTGACAGGATTTGATTTCAGATGCGGTTGTTAAGTGTTTTATATCCTTTGACCTCTGTTTATTACGGCTGAATAAAGATTTTAGTTTTTTTTGGTTTTCTCCGAAATGACTGTATCTGAATAAATACATGCATGCATGCAAGTTTCTTTGTCCGTGAATGGGCTCCTGGAAAGTACCATTGCCTTGTTGACAGATTGTATAATGTATCGGTCAAATCGAAGCTTCAACATGCCCCCCCCGGGCATACCCCGGGCATTTAACACCTTTGCTGTCCCGGGGAGGAGGGAATTTGATCATCAAAGTCTTCCAGGTGGTGGGGAATTTGATCCCCATGCTTTAGGGGTGGGGAATTTGAACTCCACCCTCGATTTCATGTAAAATCTTTGGCATGGCGAGCTATCATGGGGGACGCGGTGTTAGAGGATCTTCGTGGAAAAGATTGTGTCTTTGTGGCCAATTGGTTACGAGGAAAGGGCTTAAACAAGCTTTGTGCCGTATTTGAAGTATTTAAATTTTAAAATTTTTAATATTGGATTCAGGCTTTGAATGTATGAAGGCATTTTATTGTTGTGTTTACAATGAAGTACAATACCTATACCGGCGATTCAGTACTACAACATAAAATGAAATAAAATAAAATAAAACGGTCAACTACTTTGATCTACTGCAAGCATGTTAATTAATAAGGTGAGCGACGATGCATGTCAGTTGAAATGGTCTTAGTAGGTGGGATCTTTTTTTTTATAGAACGCTTTGTATGTTGCATGACGAAGAAAAGCTGAGCATTCAGTGACCTTGTAGCAGCAATTTCCGCCGCTTTGCACGAGACTTTTGTTAGTAAATACGCTAGCAGTGTTGCTCAGTTTTTGTTATATTTATAAAGATTTTGTTCGACAACTGAAGGCGTTTCCGCCGTCCTTCTGTCATTTTTGTGTCCGTGAAATGTCCCCAGGGGTGGGGGCATTTGATCACCTGAATGGACCCTAGTGTGGGGCATTTGAACGGCATTTTGGCCCGGGTAGGGGGGAATTTGAACAATAATTTTCAAAAAAGTCAATTGCCCGGGGGGTTGCCCGGGGGGGAGCATGTTGAAGCTTCGATTTGACCGATACATAAATAACCGACATAGAACGTGACCGGAATATTTTGTCGTAACCCAGTTGCAGCGGCATGTGATAAAATAAAGACTGGACTGGATTAGGGACGGACCATTAGAAAACTTATCGGGGGGGGGGGAAGTACAAAAAAACATCCGCGCAAGGGAAAATTGAATGAAAAAAAATTCTTGCACGCCAATTAATCCTAAAAAATATTCATGCTATGGCCTAAAAAAAATTCATACAAGGAATTTGATAACGAAAAAAAAATCCTACCGCTCGAAAATTCCCCTCCTATCCCCCCCCCATAACTTTTCTAACAAGGATTAATAAAACAGAGCGTGATAAAACATGGAGAGATATGAATTAATACGCCCGCCTTTATCATGACTTAGAGCGCCCTACCAAAACCGCCATGCTACGCAGGCTAAGTCAACATAAGCAAATGCATGACTTCTTGTTCTGCTCACTTTTCAGAAACAGTAAACTATTGATTCTAATGAACCAATGAGTCAACTTTTCAAAAATAATTTTTGTTCTGTGATGCAGGTCCTTTAACAACGCTCTCGTGAACTTGCTGAAAACAACAACAACGACAAAAACTGACGTATAGTAACGTTATTCAGCGAGGGTGACAAATTCACATTTCAAGCGCTGGCATATAAAAAACCAATGGCCCTCTGAGTGACCCCAACGTACATGCCCGGCACAGGAAAAAATAACAGATTCTCATTTTTGGATATTTCAGGGTATTTAAAGAATACCCACAAAAATCCCAAATTTGTAAGAGTGAGACAAGTCCCAATCAGGGAACTTGGTTGGGAATTCTCTGGCTGGGACTCCTCTCACTTTGCCAAATTTGGGATTTTTATGGGTATTCTTTAAATACCCTAAAATATCCAAAAATGGGAATCCGTTATTTTTTCTTGTGAACGGACTCGCGTTGAAATTTTTTTTTCTTCACCATTTTGTCGGTTTGTGAATACGCAGCGTTTTACTTTCTTCCGACGTGTTCCGCGCGTTTTCGGAATGCCTCGGCATATCGACAATTTGTAACTTTTAGGCAAATGGTAAACGACACGTATCGTTCTTACCGACCGAAAATTCTCAACCAAAATTTCCTGATTATTATTACAAATGGTAAACAACCTGTCTCTCTCTCGCGCGCGCGATACTTCGTCGGCACTGGTCAAAAGACAACATCAATTTTGACAGTTTGAATGATTAATGTAACTGTCTATTTTATACGAAATACTTTTGTTGTTGGCAAACAAAAGTGACTCTTTTGAGGAAAAGTAACACAAGACGCCTAAAGTCGTTTCCGTGGGATGCGTTGGTCTATGGAAGCATAATGGCGTTCTATCTGAATTTTGGAAAAATTAGGGAAACCGGAAAGATGTGTCATCATGTTATGAGCATCAATGAGTAGGTTACCTGTATGGGTTGGCTTAATGTGCTTATGACTGAATTTATAGTAGCCTGCGTGGCAAGCTACTATTTCTCCCCAATCCACATCCCCTTCTTGCTTCCTCCGTATCCCCTACACCTTTCGACACCTGCTACGCAAGCTAAATTTATAGTTGTCAGTGGTCGCAAGGATGGAGTTGATCTTGTTTTGATCTATCGCTATGTAGTTATTTTCGTAGCACGATTTGGATAAGAAAAAGAAGTCATTTTGCATCAAAACAAGGTTTACCCGTGTAACTTAAATTGGAATGTTAACGGAAACAACTAATGGAGAACATGCGCATAATGCTCTCTGATTAACCTGAACAGGAACTATATGTATAAAGATATGTGATATCTTGGTAGTAAGTTGCCACAGGTAACTTTTTCTAAGATAAACAAACATTGTAGTTTTAGGTTAATGGTACAAAACAAAACAAAACATCTGCTTGCTTTATCCATGGTCGAACCCAGGGTTACAAAGTTCAATAAAGTTCCAATGTTTTAGTCCAAGATGAAAGTTTAATATTCCAAGATGCTCTTGATACGGTTAAAAATTAATTGCAATGTGTTTCCAAGGTCTTAAAGTTAGCATAGTTCCAATGATTATCCCTGATTCCAAGGGATAATAAGTTTACTAATATAAGGTCGTGATCCGTGTCCCATCAAGAAGTCCAATCCATGTCGAAAGCGAGTCGTCGATCGACGAGGACAATATTTTCGCGATTTCACCGCCAACCGTCAAGTGTACGAGTTGAAAACTTTACGCGATTTAACCTCCCATCGTCAAGGTGCTTTCGGTAAGAAAAGAAAAAAACAAAACTCTAGCTGTGCTCGGCAAAAACCGGCGAACTCCGAATAGAAAAATCTATCGGAAATCACAGCCCGCAACCAGACGCTACTAAAACCTTATGAAAAAGCTAGACCTAAACAAAAAAGAATCATGAAGGAAAGAAATAATTTGGCTTAGGTCGCCTTTCGTGACTTGCCAGTATCCCGAAGGATTTCGCTGGTTAACAAGCCGCCATCCTAAACCACGAGTGGGAAAACTCAAGCGCGACAAATTTGGCAAGGAACGTTCTAGACTACGAGTAGTCCCCCATTTTCCCTCAGGGATAGTAGAGCGAGCAAAACGCAAGCGCGCGTGAAAATCACCCCACGCGAGAAAAGACGACACGCGGCAGGGAGAGAGAAAAATGAGGGACTACAGACAAAGCCCAAGCTTTTAAACTAATGCGTTGCTCTCAAAACGCAAAACTCTGATTGGCTCTTCCATGGAAATCTGTCAACATCTGTCAAAAACGCGCCAGCCGCTATCAACACTTGACATAATCATAATTTGCAGAACAAATAACTAGAGCAGAACAAATAACTAGAGTTGCACTTGTAGCAGCAACTAAGCCAACCTGGCAACTGATGAGGTTCGCGTGGAGAACCGAAACCATGGTCATGCCTGATCACAAAGTGGGAATAACAGAACAGTCGGAAGGCTGTTACAAATGTAAGCTTTTTCAAAAGTTATCAAGGGAGGAACTACGCACTCCAGTCCAAAGACTCACATTATCTCCAGGAAAACAACCGGTAGTTAAAATTCATGAGCAGTCATGACTGAGTCACATCGCAGTTCCACAGTTAATGTAGTTTTAGTTTAAGCTGCAATCCATTCTTCGAAATTTGGATATCACTATCCGTCGTGCTAAAAACGGTAACGAGCTGGGCCCAGCGTGACAAAAAATTGCAGGAAACCGTCACATTCACAGCCAAAAAGAAAATCGCTTAAAATTATTGAGATCCAGGAGGCAATCGCCGGGGAAGTTAAACAACCCAAAACCCTTATTTGGCCGCATTGAAGAGCTTTACTTTTCAAAAGAGGTCAAAGAAAATGCTCTTGCATTAGAGGGCAAATCATGCCGACCATAAACAACCTTTCGACCTTTCAGCACTGCACAAGCAATGGAAATCTTCACCGAGAAAGTTATTCTGCTATCCAACCGCTTTTGTAGAATTCGCCAACGACTTTTGAGACGGCCAAAAGCGCACTCGATGGCTACTCCTGCAGATGACAGTTCCTTGTTAAAGGTTATCTCGCCAGGGTCACGCGTGGCTTCAGGATAAGGCTTCATAAGCCATGGGGAAATAGGGTATGCGCTGTCTCCTACCAGGTAAGGGCGAATATCTGTAATACTGATTCTTTCAACCGGTTCTTTGAGTATATCTTCGTTGCTTGCTCTTTGATAAAGGGAGCTGTTTCGATATACCCTAGCGTCGTGAAGACTTCCTGGATAACCTGCGGCAAAGTCAAGAAATAATCCCTTACCGTCAGAAACGGCTTGAATTATAAAATCACGTTGCTGATTTCGACTAAAATAATCAGCAGCACTGTCTCTGGGAGAATTGAAATTATTTCGATATGGGTCCCATCTATGGCTCCAACAATGTTTGGAAGTCGTGATTTGTCTGTAAATGTCTCTATACACCTCATTGTCTCAGCCACCGTTGTTGGGGATTTGACAAGCCTCTATTGCTGTAGTTCTACCGACGTTTAGCGCAGGTCCTATTGTTTGGTACGAATTTCCATGTGCAAGTCGAAGCAAACCACAAGCAAGAACCTTTTCCGGAGTGAGACAATTTCGCAGTAGTGTATTCTGTCTTGTCAGCCGGTTGCGAATTACGATGAGCAACAAATCGAAGCTTTCTCTGTTCATTCGTAAAAGCCTTCGAAAGAAGTCCCCTGGTATTGTCCGATCAGTGTAATGGATCTCGAACCACGATTCGACTGGACGAGGAAGAGTCCAATAATATGGTGCTCTTCTTCGATAACGATTTTGTCGACCGCGAATTCGTCGTGTCAATAGCAAGTTTTGTGTTTGTAAATTCTGCATAAATAACAGGCAACATATTATTAAATTGATATTTGCCTGCTGCTGAAGAACCAAGGAAAAGTAGAAAACAATCACTGCAATAATTCTTCGTGGTAACATTAGATCCCTCGTGTCGCGGTTTTGTGGATGTAAACAGCGAGTAAAGGCAGCTTCGCGGGAAATCGCAGGAAATCACAAGGCGCTTACAGCATGGTGTTGTGTTTTGTTCACAGATTTTGTTCTTAAGTGCGACTGTAGCTTTCCGGACAAATTTTTTGTCACTGGACGATTTCAAGTCGGATTTGTCCAGAACAAATCTGAAATTGCCCTCTAGTGCGACTTGGCCTCAAAACGTTTTTAGAAACTTTCCGTCGCAGTCGTAGACCATGTCTGTTTAATTGACGAACTTGGTAACCTGGCATGTTCCCAACAAATCGTGGTGGTATCCGTACCCTAGAATGTTAGAAAATGCATGTAAGGAAGTACGTACGGGGATTTTTGTTTCACAGAATGAAGGTCAAGGCTGTACTCTAGCAGAGTCCGGTGGCCCATAGCGCCTACCTTTTGTTCTCGGGCGAGAAAATCTTAGCTTTTTCATAGAAATCATATGCTGGGCCTCTGGATTTCACAAGTTCAGAGCACTGGGCTCCCTTCAATTTTTCTTTGAGCACAGCCTTGAAGACTATCTATTATTAACTGAGCAATCCGGGGACGTATTCCCGGGAATTCGCAGTGAAGTATGTTGTTCGGCTTTCCAAATCCTTACTGTAGATCCTATTTCAGATCAAAAGTGAAGGAGTACTCACCTAGGGATTTTCGTTGTCATGGCGATTAACACAATCAATAATTCAAATCCCAGTTTCGCGAGCGAGATGGGGCCTGGAAACAATTCGTGATAAAAAACAAATACGATGTATCTGACGCACAATCAAAACATCGTACTTGCAGAGTTTTCCGCTATGGAACGACAGATTTCTCTCTTCTTATTGTACTTTTCTGGAAATGTCTGTCCTCCCTAGCGAAAAGGGTTCATTAGAGGACTTCAGGAGGAGTCCCACAGCTAAAGGAATTTTTACGAAATCGCGTTCTGAAAAAAACCGGAGCTAACCGGGACCAAGGACGAACTTGCTGCGTTGCCTTTCTGCGCGGTGCCAGGCCTTTCCCGATTTTTCTTGTAAAATGCTGGAAAGTTGCTCACTGGAATGCCAAAGAGTTGCTAAAATTGCCAAAAATCCAAACAGTTGCCACCTAAATTTCTTGATATTTTTATATAAACGTTAATTAGAAG